GGCGATAACCATCAGAGAAGATGGGCTCCACACAAGTTCGACTTTGTAGCACTGAGCTGGGCGTGTGTGGGCGTGTGTGGGTGTGGGGGAACTGAGGGAGGGAGGAGATGGGCTCCACACAAGTTCGACTTTGTAGCACTGAGCTGGGCGTGTGTGGGTGTGTGTGGGTGTGGGGGAACTGAGGGAGGGAGGAGATGGGCTCCACACAAGTTCGACTTTGTAGCACTGAGCTGGGCGTGTGTGGGTGTGTGTGGGTGTGGGGGAACTGAGGGAGGGAGGAGATGGGCTCCACACAAGTTCGACTTTGTAGCACTGAGCTGGGCGTGTGTGGGTGTGTGTGGGTGTGGGGGAACTGAGGGAGGGAGGAGATGGGCTCCACACAAGTTCGACTTTGTAGCACTGAGCTGGGCGTGTGTGGGTGTGTGTGGGTGTGGGGGAACTGAGGGAGGGAGGAGATGGGCTCCACACAAGTTCGACTTTGTAGCACTGAGCTGGGCGTGTGTGGGTGTGTGTGGGTGTGGGGGAACTGAGGGAGGGAGGAGATGGGCTCCACACAAGTTCGACTTTGTAGCACTGAGCTGGGCGTGTGTGGGTGTGTGGGGGTGTGGGGGAACTGAGGGAGGGAGGAGAGATAACAATTTCATTTGAAACGTTTGAACAAACTTATGTAGCCTATTACTTACTCTATTTATAATTCAAATCAAAGATACATAACTCTACAGGGTAGTCATATTTGGATGGACAACTTCTATATCTTCTACTCGTATCACACCACCCTTCTCATTTATTCCCATACCTCTGTGAACTCTTTATCTGCCCCCCCCCCTCACCTAAAAAAAAGCTCTCCCCATAAAATTATATACATAATATACAATTATATACATTATGTAAGTAAAACATTAGCCAATGCATGTTTTCACCTTTGCCTATGTAAGAAGTGCTACCAAAGAACCTTACAATACAGAACTCTCATCAACAAGAGGATACAATCACTCCTCACTTTCATTCTTTTTGTCACAAAACATATAGGCCTAGGTAATAGAAACTCTAAATCCAGCTAATATACACGGTACGCGTAGACAGACCAATGTGCTATTTAATGTTTCCAATCATTTTTCAAAATTAATATTATCTTTAATTTACATTAGTGCCACCTATTGTGGACGTATTGCCCCGCCCCCTCCCCCGTAAAAAAATACCCCTCCCTCTCTAAAAACACAACGTTCAATCCCCCCCCCCCCCACTCCACTTACCACTATTTCCTATGTGCACAATCAGTGGCGTAGCGAGGTCGGGTGTCACCCGGTGCGGCACTTAATGGTGTCACCCACCACAGGCGTAGCGACCCTTCCCGGGGACAAACTTTCAAGTTTTCGATTTGCACCCCCCCCTCAAGTTTTCGATTTGCACCCCCTCCCCCTCAAGTTTTTCTCTATATATTTTGCTATTTTTTGCCTTGGTGTCACCCCCCTAAATAGTGTCACCCGGTGCGGTCTGCACCCCCCGTCCCCCCTCGCTACGCCCCTGTGCACAATTACCTTGTTTCTTTTAACATTTCACCAGCTCTATCTCTCTAGCCCCTGCCGGTTTTCTCTTAGCCTAAATCGCCATTGGTCTCAAAAGTTACACCACTTGATTAAAGATCTGACTTGTCCAAGGCAAAACGCCTTCCTCTCCTGTCAACAACTTGAAACAAACTCAAGCGACCATCTCATCCCACCTAAAGCGACAATCGTCCAGCGACCAAACAGGCTCTTGTCCAGGCGGAAATCTTCTAGACTTGACCAAAGTCAACGCGTCCCGTCTTGTTTGAACTGCGATCGTCCCCCAAATAGCGCGCGGAATTGTAGACACGGCCGAAGATTTGGCCATCTCGAGACAGCCATTTTTTTTTTAAAACTGCTAAGGCTATCGTCATTCATGTGTTTGACTTGAGAGAAAGAATTACATTTCTTCACCCCATTATTTCTCGCCACTTCGTAGATATAAGTGACGAGTGCGTTTCTAATTTGTATTGATAAGGAAGTGGGGAATGGTTAAGAAAAATAAGGTTTTAGATAAATAGTTCATTTTTATTTCATGGGTAGTGGTTGGTATCAGTGTTTCTTCCAGACTCCGCCCCCCCCCCCCCCCGAAGAGATGCCTGGAAGAAACACTGGTTGGTATAATAGAGCTTTCTTTCTGATGTTATTTTGTTTAGCCGGGTCTAGCATTTTATGACAAGTGCAGTGATTGGGGGTGGAGCATGATTGCTCGGTTGAAGTTGCGTAACGTAAATGAATTTGAATACTAGGGTTCTAATCTTCTTTTTAAAACGTTTTTCTTAACTCAGCTTCGCGTTTGTTTGTTTGGATGTTTGTTGTTAAAATTGACATCGAAAATTAGCCCACTTCTGATTGCTCTACAGACCTGAAATTTGGCATGCATGCTACTTTTGCCTAACAATTTCAGATGCAATCATAAAAACTAGCAATTAGTGACCGTAATTAGCTTAATTTAATTACGCCCCAAGGACCATAAAATTGAGGACATGATTTCTAAAGATACCGACAAGACTTGAAGCCTATTGACACAGTTACTTCGGCCCCAATCGATGTGAGCGCGCTGGCCGTGATCGTATAGTGGTTAGTACTTCGCGTTGTGGCCGCGACAACCCAGGTTCGAATCCTGGTCGCTCAAGATTTTTAGTCCGTGTATTTATAAACACTTTTTTAAAAACCACGTTTTTCATGTGTAGCAACGGACTAAAAAGGAGAACGGACACGGTAACACATTGTTAACGGTGACACGGTTGGTACGCTGGGCATGCTAAAATACACATAAACACGTTTTTCCTTAACTCAGCTTCGCGTTTATTTGTTTGTTTATGGGAGATTTGATCACGTGATTCGTGAGTAGATCTCCACGCCAGCAACGTAAATTACACCCTTTCTCTGTTAAAAGCGTATCGGTCGCTCAAGATTTTTTTAGTCCGTGTATTTAAAAACACTTAGTCAAGTCATACTTAATCAAGTGATTAGATAAAGTAGAAAATAAACTATATAAAAAACTTTTTAAAAACCACGTTTTTCATGTGTAGCAACGGACTAAAAAGGAGAAAATAAAATACTTAAAAAAAACTTTTTAAAAAACCACGTTTTTCTTGTGGACTAAAAAGTAGAAAATAACTATTTACATACATTTGATGACAAAAAACGTGGGTCGGGCAGATGGGTCGGGAAATTTGATGGTGAACGTACCCACGTTTTTTGTCATCAAATGTATGTAAATAGTTATTTTCTACTTTTTAGTCCACAAGAAAAACGTGGTTTTTTAAAAAGTTTTTTTTAAGTATTTTATAATACCACTCTTTGTTCGAATCGCCAGTGATACACCACTCTTCGACTCGCCGATAAAAGATACCTCAAATCTGTGGGTGATGATGGGACGACGTGATCGGATGGTAGAGCACGCGAATGTTAACCAGAAAGTTTCGAGTTCGGATTCGTGTTCAGAGTCCGTGGGATGTCACTGAGTCTTCTCAGCTCACGGTAGGGAAAGTAAAGGAATTGTCGGCGAAACCGGATGTTTAGAAAAAAATGAATACATCGACTTCTGTTTAAATAAACAATACATGCAAAAACATACATATAATTAACCTTCATTTCTGGAGCCTAACTACTACAGGTCGCCATTTCCTATTGAGTGAATTACAAAAAAAAAAGTCAGTTTTGTATGGTCAATACTCTACTAAACAGCGAGATGCCCGTCCACTAATGTGCTGTTAATTAGCTAGATTATCATCTCATCTGTTTATATATATATATATATATATATATATATATATATATATATATATATATATATATATATATATATATATATATATATATATATATAAGCTTGTCCTCTTTGGTTTTTGAGCCATACCCCCCCCCCTTTTCTTTTACTCCAAGGTAACGAGCTATGTCACTGTTTTAATCACACCTAGGGATCCTCTTGGCCGGCGCCTAGGCGGAAGTCCCAACATACTCGTATATTTTTCACCATTATCTCAAGATTAATCCCCCCTCCCCCACATCACTTTCCCTCCCACGTGACGTGACGTGCCACTGTTACACTCATCTCCAAACCTGACCACGCCCCACACCGGCATGTCGCCCCCCCACAACAGCTCTCTACTGTCTTAGATATTTTGGCCTGTGAAATAAGCTTGTGTTTTCCCAACCATTGAACAATGAAGTGACGAGGGACATTGTCTACCCCCGTATGGTCACTCTCAGCCCCCTGTTTGTCCAGAGCTTTGGCCACAGGTAACAGTTGACTGAGAACTGACTAAAGGTAAGTGTCAGAGCAGTGGTGTTCCTACCGGTGAATTCAACGCTTCAGCTCCACGTCTGCTTGCGCATGATCGTACGAACAAACCGGGGCTTGATAGGCGACGTGCCTAGCCGTAGTTGACAGTTGGGTGTTATCCCCCCGTTTTCCTTCTCCAACAGTAAAGGGAGACCACTCGTTTAGGAGAAAAAATTTAGCTTTTTACTTCAGAGATAATCGTGTAATTACAATTGGTTCATTCAATTATCAAATCCAAAGCATTTATTGATACGTGTTTTTTCGTTGCCTTCTCTGTCCCTTAACATGAAACACCATAATAAAATTTATTTACTGATTCAGATTTTTAAAAAGTACTTTCCTTGGTATAAGTATAAATAAAACATAAATACGAGTAATTCATTTCCTTGGTGTTGTGTGAATGTATTTTATCCTTCAAATACGAAAATAAATGGCAATACGAAAATATGTGGTAATCATTCTATTCATCAACAGTTTGCATGTTGAACCTATGTCGTTTCTGTTCTACAATGGGGATGGCGAGGGTGACTAGGGCAGAATTCAATTAAAGAAAATAATTAATTATAAATTATAAATAATAGTTGTATGGTTCAAACACAATTTCTATAAAACATTACTTTTTATTAAACTGTATCAAAGTCATAAAAGTCAAAGTTAAATACACAAAAATTACCTTGTTTTAATCTTTTAAAAGTTGTTAAATTAATTGACTAGTTTTACAAACTTCATAAGAAACTATTTCACCCTCAAAATTTGTTTTTGTTCAAAGACCATATTTTGTGTGTGCTGTAAATGAAAGGCACAGCTAACTTTTTATGCTGAGCAGTACACATTAAAAGCAGCATCTTTCATACATGTCAATTAAAATGTGTACGAAAATAATACTAACTAAAATTAATAACATGCAACTAATTTAAAAGAAATGTTCCATGAACAAAATAGAAAAGTCTTTTTAAACATTCCCATGTAGAGAAATATTTGGTCAATTGATGAGGTGGTGAACAGGCTGTTAGTGTAATAAGTTGAGATCATTGTGTAGTTGTGTTTTGAGGACTGTGTAATGGAGTTGTGTAGTGAGGGATGTCTAAGAATGAAGTGTGTTAAGACTGGTGTGCATCTTGTACTGAGGGCTGTATAATAGAGTTGTATGTTGGTACTATAGTGTTGTTTTTTATTCAAAATTTAAACTTTTACAATAATAAATTACAAGTTCCATTAAATATTGTAATGTTGCTATAATACAATTGTTATAAAACATCAGGAATGACTTGCAGACATGAAAGACTTAGTAGAAGTTGCAGAAAAGAAATGTTGCCATCAGATCTAGCACAATCTAGATATTTATGTTCCAAAAATGTCTTTTAGGTTTTCAGGCATTTGCGAACTTTAAAAAGTTTGACTATTTTACAAGCTATAAAGCTAAAAAACAGGAACACATTTTCCCATGAATGATTAGAACTAACAATAAGTTGACAGGTAACTGTTGTTACATTTCATTATGTGTTATAAAAATACTAATAAATATGTTAAAAAAAAAAACAGTGTATTTTTTAAGCACCCTACTAAATGATAAGCTCATATCATAATAGGAACATTTTCAATTATCAATAGATTTATGTTGCACTGAAGTGCACTTAATGAAAACTTATATCTATCCAAACAAAGGCAGAATTCTCGTAAGGATGATGAAATATTAGAATGAAGCTTATCTAAGATTAGTGCAATAAGGACTAGAGAAAAATACATACTCAAAATATGTAATACTATTAGGCAAAAAAAAATATATATATATGTACAACTATATATAATTTAAAGTTTAAATCCCTTTATCTTTGGTTACCCCCCCCCACCTCATCTATTCTCCAGCCCAGATTTAGAAAAAGGGAGATAATCTGCCACCTTTATTTAAAATTGTGAGGTGTCTAAATCGCACACCACATACACTAATTGAAAAGTTTTATGATTCTTATAATTGGAAAAAACTGCAATCCAAAATTTGTTTAGAAAAACATAGCTTGGTCTGTAACTCTGCTTTTTAAACAAACCACACACAAATTATCAGTTGAGCTTCTATAAAACAAAATATCCATGTTTTAAATTACAGCTATTGCTACAAAATAAGTTATCATAACTTTTAGTTTTAGTATTGATATTTGTTATGCTTATCATAAAAATAAATAAACTGTTTGACAAATAGAGCTTTAAAAAAAATAGATAACAAACAATGACACACTGCCAACTAAAACACAATGGTTAGTCATCCTCTTTTTACCTTAAAAGTCTTTTATCTATTAAATAAGTTTAAAAGGCGAAAATAGATGACACAGGTGATTAAAGTATTAACCACTTACAGATTTATTAAACATAAGCTATTCCTAAATAATCTAGATAATAATCTTACTCAGTGTAAGTTAAAATCTTCTATAACAGTTCTATTAGATTTTAAGTTGAAACAAGGATTTGATTCAAGACATGATGCACTCATGCCTTATATTCAATTCTGTATTAAATGTTGTGCCATATATATGTTGAATTATGAAATTGGTGTAGTCTTACGTAAACGTGGATGGGCAGACTCTGAAGATGTTGAAGATCTTGGGTTTGGTGATGGAACATCTATGGTTGTATTTAAGAAAAGGCGTTTTTCTGGAGATTTGAAAAAAATTCTGTTAAAATATATAGTACAAATAGTTTCAGCAACTTACAATATATTAGGGAATACTTAAGTTTTAAATATTCCATTAAGGTAAATATGTTACACAAATTAAAAAAGACAAACAAATCACGTAACAATATGAGATGGCAAAATCAATATGGAATGCTTATTTTTTATTTTTTTAAATTTGCTTTAGGATATACTATTATTATTCTAAAAAGGGTAATAAAAAAACAACTCACGTATGACAATCTGCTTTAGATTAACTTTTCCTGTGATTTTGAGAATGATGTAAAAAAAAGCAGGAAGTACAGCTACAATGCAAGTGATGCCCACTACAGGCTTGAAGTCACCAGATCTTTGACTGCAGTTGAAGGTTGAGCTCCATTTAAAACGGGTGTGGTTCATCTGGTTAAAGAAGACAATAACCAGCCAACATTATTCTACACAACACATAAAACTTTCTTGTGATACAGACAACTTTCATTGGTTTAAAGTTTTTCTTTAAAAATGATAAAGTAATCTAAAAAAAATAAGGAACAAATTAAAACAATAAGACCAAATTTCATTGACGTTCATGTAATTAAAATATGTTGAAAATCAAGCAAATACATTACAGAGAATATCATTTTTTTTAAAAACATCTTTTGATTTTTAAAAAGTTTAAACAAGAGTAAATCACAGTAAAACCTAAAATATATTTACAAAATAATTGTTAAATTTTTAAAATATATAATACTGTTTAAACCAAAACAAAAACTCTTTTTAGACAGACCCTCAAGATACATTAAAATTGAAAAGTATCTTTTTAAATGTGTATACACTAATTGAAATGTCTTATAGACTTCCTTATGCATTTTTAACCATAGTTTTTTTAAGTATGCAGGCATTTATGTTACTCACCTTATCAACAATGTCCATGCACACTCCTTTACCAGTGCGATCTTCCATATTGTTGAAATAATTATTTAATTTCTCATAGCTAGCTTTACACTGATGGCAAACACCTGTGTTATTCTGGACAAAATATTTTTCTTCCTGCTTAAAAAAAAATCATAATTTAAGAAATTGTCATGTACGAGTCTATAAATATTATAACTCTTTCAAAGGCGACAGGACAAATTATCTCAGACAAATATCCCTGACAAAACATCTCACAGACAAATGATCTCACAAACAAAAGATATCAGGACAAATTATCTCAGGCATAATTATTAAGTCAATTAGATTATTCCTTTATTGATTGTCATTGGTTTTTTACTTCCTGCAATTAGTAATGTAATATATGAAGATCAAAACAAATTTTTGATATACAGTGTAGGTGGGCTTGCCAAACATAAGGTGGACAAAACTAGATCAAAGGGGATTCTAATCTACTGATTGAAGGAAAATAAAGACACCTTTGTAGCAAGATGGCCACAAACTTAGATGGCGTAGACATGCCCTATGGGAGAAGAAACCTAGTCTATAGTTATATTTTGATCACCACTCCTTAGTGATCAGGTGACAACGGCTTATTTAAACAACAGCAGTCATTGTGAAGCAAAGTAATTCATAGTGTCCATGCAAGGAAAACAGTATTAGTGGTGATAACCCAACATTGTAAAAATGTCATAGGAATTAGTTTCTGGTGAATTTTTGTTTTTAAAGAGGTTTGAAAATGTGAAATTTGAACATGTAGAGCTTGAGTCCATACCATAGATGATCACATTAACATGTGTAAAAAAAAAAAAAAGTAAATAAAAACTATAAAAATCAATAAAAGATGTTCTGGTTGCTAAGCCGAAAAGTCTCTAGTTCGAACCCTTGGGCAGATGAGGCTTGTTAGCTGCGGACAGCCACTCTTCTAGAAGACACAACTCCAAAATCAAACAACTGTTGCCTTGTAGTTTGTTTTTGGTAGGACAAAGGCTATGGAAGCAAATCCAAAAAGAAAAGCAGGCTGAAATCAGAGTCAATGGCCTGAATGGCGTATAACCAGTTGACACGTATCTTTAATTGTGTTGGAGGGGGATCCCCTCTAACACTAAAATTAAGAACTAAGAAGAAGAAGACAATAAAAGATGTTCAAATTGACTAAAAACATCCTATTTTATATAAATATTTTGTTGTGAGATATTTTGTCTGAGATCATTTGTCCATGATATCATTTGTACTGAGATATTTTGTTCATGAGATTATTTGTCCAGAAATATTTTGTCCTGAGATCAATTGTCCTAAAATATTTTGCCTTGAGATATTTTGTCTGAGATCATTTATCATGGAACCCTTTTAAAACATTTAAATTAAACAGAAAATAATGAACCTTAATTTGGGTATAATGAACTACACATGGTTACTGGTCTAGTAGTTAGGATACAATGATGCAAAAAAAGTTTAAAAACCTGCTCACCCCTGGATGCATTTCAAGACATTTACTGAAGTTTTGGTACAACTCTAAAAAATCCTTGATGTCACTAAAAATGTTATATGAAACAGCTTTAGTTGCAGGATCTATTGTAACATTTTCCATACAACCTGTTGAAACAATGATTCAAATCAAAGTATTTAGTATTGAAAATTGGCACTTTAAAGTATTATTAGGAGTATCTTACAACAGTCTAACACCCTGGGTAAAGGGTAAAACATGGATTTATTAAAACACTACATTAAAAACTACTATCTACAATTGTTTACTTTTAAAAACTGTCTCACTAAGCCTAATCACATCAAATCAACTAAAAACAGAGTAACACTAGTTTGTTTAACCTACACTTACAGACCTGAGCATGCTGAGTTATCCCAAAGACTGCCCATAGATGTCTGAACAAAAGGAATAATTTGTATACGATCTGACTGCATGTACAGAGTGTTACAATCGGAAAGACTTGGTTTCTCCTGAAGTGTAATACATCAATTTGTATAAAAGAAACAAATATAGTACAAACGCTTTTAACATTCCTCTAAAATTATAAATTATATAACATAGAAAAGTAATATAAATGATGAAAGTATTATTTAGATTAAAAAAAAGGGGGGGGGGGTATGAAAATAAGAATAAAACTTACAACAAGATCTGTATATAGAGCTGAAGAAATATGAAACTCTTCTACACAGTGAAGACAAAGATCAAATGGACGTGCACTGTAAAGTTCACAGGTGGTAAAGTTGTTTGCTGCGGCCAAGTATTCATTGAAAAAGGCAGTGCATGGATCTATTACAGGATTGTCTGTTACATTAGCAGTGTTGTAAGTACAGTCACTTACAGTCAATAAGCAAAGGGAAACAATTACTCCCATAAAAATAGATCTGGTGGATGCAAGTATTGATATGAAGTCCATGTTTCTACAAGCCAACTCTTTCATTGGGTCACCTTTAAATCTGAAACAGAAATGCACATTATTTTAATTGATTTAATAAGACTACAATTGTATAGACTAAGGACTTTATGTAGAAGCTAACTCGGCTGCTATTATTAAATCATCTATTATCATTAGACCCTAATTACAGGACCATTTCTCATTACTCAGTCCTAAAAAAACCCTTACATTCATCAAAATGGTTAGTTTTAGGGAAATTCATTTAGGGAATTCAGTTTTTATTGTAGTGAAAAGGCTCTGTATGGCAGTTTCAAATAATATTTAGCTAATTAAGTAATTCTTTCATTGAAATGTACATTCAATGCATTTAATTCTATTCTTAACGCCAGACATAGGGCGAAAAGAAAAGAGGCCGATGAAGGAAGACCTCTGGATGTGACCTGGAAGAAGACACAAAGCAGATAGATACACTTGGGGACAGTTATAGAGACAGGACAGGGATGTCTAAAAATGCTCTTGTCAGTGGCCAATGTCCCAGGAGGGGTAACCTAACCCTTAACATTATGGCCAGAATTATCACTCAATGAAACAGTGAAATGAATATTCAAATGAATTCAAGCTCATATGAAAAAGTCTTAATTTACAAAATGAAGGCGTAAACAAAAACATTACAAATTTAAAATGAAAGCATTCCCATTTTATTTTACTTAGGGCCTATGAATAATTAATAAATCAGATTCTTGATACTAGATAACTGGTATTACTACTATTACTAGTACTAGTAGATCTACTAGCTACTACTACTAGTTACTAGACTATAAAAAAAATTACTAGAATCTAATAATTAATTACTAACACTAGCCCGAGACTAGTAATGTGAAAAAAGGTGACTCATTAAATTTTTGTAATCTGTGTGTGTAAATAAATAAATAAAGTGTAAAATTGTAAATTTAGTAAATTAATTTAAAATTTAAGTAGATCTAAATTAAAATTAGAGAGTCGTCTTAGAGAGGGAGTTGTTATCACGGAATCTCCCATTTTATAAAAAAAAAAAACTTAAGCCTAGTAAAAAACCTAAAACAAACAAGACAAGAGTCATGATGCTTGGTTACTACTAACTACTAGAGTAACTAGACTAGATCTAGAATCTAGATCCTAGATCTATCTAGATCTAGTGTCTAAAGTTAAATGAGCTTGGTTGCATCTGATGAAAACATTGCTAGTCTTTATTTATTACTGAAAAGTTTTAATACGATTATTTATTAGTGACAAACCTTGAAACAAGATCCGTAAAATAAAACGATCATAAGACCGGAAGTTTGCATTGCAAAACAGAAAGTGAGTCAGGCCAAGGCCAGAGACAGATCTAAATTTAAACTTAAGTACAATACTAAGTGAGAGTACTAGATCTACTACAAGTTCCCAAATAACATAAAACAATTGGTTTTTTTTTTCGTCTTCATATTTTTTTCTTCCCCGATCAAATTTTGCACTTCAAGCGAGGTTTTGAAGTATTATCTATCTATATAATATATAATTCTCTTCTTGGATACACTAGAAAACACCAAGCTGTAAGCGCACCTCGCCGTCCCTTCTCTTCCTCTCTAAGCATATCCCTGTCCCTACCACCCCCACACAGTGTTTCTTCCAGACTTTTTTCTCCGGGGGGGGGGGGGGGGCACTTGAAATTTTCGGGGGGGGGGGCGGTAAACTTTCTTCGGGGGGCGGACACTGTTATATATATGTATATAAATTATATAAATTTCATTTCGTTCGGGGGGGGGGGGGCGGTAAATTTTTTTCGGGGGGGGGGGGGGGGGGCTTTGCCCCCCCGAAGAGATGCCTGGAAGAAACTCTGCCCCCACATGGTCTGGTGAGCTGTGGTTCACGCTAAATGTTTACAATCGTAGAGCCGGGTTTAGTGACGGCTATTAGGGTAAGATAATTTAGTTTGAAACTATTTTAAACTTAGGGGAGGTAACTTAGAGGAGGCTGCCAGAGTTTCTTCCAGGCATCTCTTGGGGGGGGGGGGGGGGAGATGTCTGGAAGAAACTCTGCACGTGCGCTCTACGAAACCACATGTTACACTACCGCATGGGCGCCGGGTGTGCCCCTGCTTAAGCCTTAATCATCGAATGTAGCAGTTCACCATATCCCTAGTGTGCTGTAAGGAGTTCCTTAAAAAAACTATAGTATCCACAGGGGCGCTCTGGGTCACCTCCTGATCGATTTAGTCAATTTTAATGAACGAATTTAATAGCCCACCGTATCTCCAGTGTATGGTGCTCTTAAAAACGTAGGCCTCGGTGTTCATGGTGGAGCACTTAGATTTAAAACAGCTGACGTTGTGTACATATGTGTGTATGTACATCCCTAAAGCTCCCAAAATTTGTGTGTAATTTTTTGTGCTTAAAAGTAATGCTCTTCATAGAACAGGCTTGGATCTAGTCATAATAAGACCAGTACACACTACTAATGTTTATTAGTAGGCAGTATCTGTTCCCATTTAGTATTGAAAACAAGTCAACTGCAGAAAGTTAACCACAAAAGGAAAGAATACATGCACTTGCTTAATCAGTTTTGATTTTATTATTGGAGGAATATTCAAACATACTAAAAATAACCTTTACAATTACAACCTAAAAACTAAAACGCCATCATACAAGACATACTCTTTCAAGTTGTTGCTTTATTGTGAAGACAACCACCAATTGCTGATACACATAATAACTGTGATACTGGTACTAACTATTCACACATTTTAAAATTTCTGTTCCCAAACCTATTTGTGTAAATATTAAATTAAGGAATAAATACACATGATCAATATGGTTACCTTGTAGAAAGAAAGACTGTTTATCAAAACATGCCTGATATGATCTTCAAAAATACTTACAAACTATTTTACACAAGAATATGTACAATGGAAAACCACACCAATCTCACAAAATTAAGAAATGTCCATTTATTCATTAAATAACATCACCAAGTCAATTTGATTTTTATCTATTTGTTCAACATAATAGACAATACAAATTTTTTATGCTAGCAATTGAAATTTAATTTTAAAACATTATATATTTAGACAAGAATTCTCAGGACTTCATGCACATATTACATAACACAGAAAATATGTTATTGCTCATGAAGTATTTTATAATAAGTAGGCCCTGCAAGTCCTTACTACAAGACCAGCATCCGTGTGTAGTCAACTATTTCAAAATGTTAAACAGAAAATCAGCAGCGAGAATTCGTTAACAAAAAATTAATTGGCTAAAAATGAAAGTGTTATAAAACATGACTCTTGACCATCACCTCTTTCCATACAACCAAATGATAAAACACTACCCCACCTTTGTTTTATATAATATGTGCATGATTCTTTAGCTTATAATTTAAAAACACAATTGACCACAAAAAAAAATGTTGAATTGTTTCAAGCAATAAAACAGCCCTACTGGAATCATTAACATAAAAGCTTAGTTAGAAGTGAGATAAATGCACCTTGTGCAAAAGAGTAGATGTCACCAGACAGGCACTTTGCTGGAACCCCAATGGAAAAGTAATTAGACCATGTCAGATAATGAAAAAATGTAGTAGTGTAGCTAAGGCTGCTCAAGTATTCCAACAGTGTGCCATTGCATCTTCAAGCTCCATGAAAAACCTGTGAATGAGGCAGTTCTATAAGAACTATTTACAGTCAAGTTTATCACTGTTTGGGATAGCACTTTGTGTACCGGTACATAGAAGAAAAAAGATCTTATCACATTTTACTTAAAAAGAAAGCATTGCTTCAGAGAATGTACAAGAGATTTTCAAAAAGGATTGAAAGTTTGATCTTCCTATAAAAATGTTAGATAATAAGCGGTTTGTACCCATACAATTTTGAGAAAGTGTACATTATGTTTTCCACAGAAACCACTAGAAGTAATTTTATCAAGTATAATAAGCTCACTGTTTTATTTATACAAGTTGAAAGTAAACTAAATATCAGTTGTTTTTTTCTGGAACTACTAATCTAAACTTTTTAAAGCCGCTAACTGTCTTTCTATCTCAGCATCAGCATTACTAGATGACTCTCCTAGTTTTCCTCTGTGTGCTGATGGTGCATCAACAAGCTGGGTAAAAAAAAAAGAAAAATTTACACTTAGATCTAGTAACTTTTGTCTATCCAATAAAAAATCAGAAAACCAAATGACAAAAGCAGTACTATCTTGGGGAACTGAAGAAAATTGCCTGAGACTGGCAAAAGTGGAAAGAGTTTTCTGGGGTGGCTCCATGAGCCATTGGCACAAAAGGGATGGGATCATGATCCGATAAAATGTACTGATGGGTTTGTTGACAACAATTAATAGAATTTCTATTTTTGAAAGCTGATTGTTGGATAGTTAACAAAATTATTATAATAATAAATTCATATTTAAATTTTATATGGGGAAGAAATGTCTTACTTTTCCTGAGATTTCAATACCAATTTCATCTAAGACACGGTTTACAATAGCATCTTGCTCTTCTTCATCTCCAGATTCAGTCAAAATATCATCTAATGTGTCATCAACTGGTAGAAACAATTTTTTTTAATAATATACAAAAGGAGAGGTAAGTTTAGACAAAAAGGCATTAACAACAGTTAACAAAGGAAAAACAAATAATAAGAGTAAAAATAAAAAGGTGTGCATTTTACTGTAGTATTGGGTGAAGTAAGATAATGTTTATATAATTACTAAAACATTTGCACTAAGATTTGGGTAAATGTAGATATACATAATGTTTAATAGTTTTATTGCGGTTTCACTAGACTAACCAGACATGTCAACCAACATGAAGCTAATGAGAAAAGCTATAAGATTTTCTTACTCATTTCTTCAGTCATGCTCATTTTTGCAGATTCCCTCTCAAAATCTTTCATCGTAGCAGCTGTCTTCATAGGGTCCATGACTTTATTCATCTGGGTCATGGTCTGTAGAAATTTAAATAATGGTTGAAAAAAAAATGATTAAAATTACAGATGCAGTTGAGTACTGTAATTAGTGGTCACAATATAAAGCTAAAGTATGAAAATTAAGCATTGTAAAAAGCAGGTCTTATTTATCAGCTATGAATTTAGCTGATATCATTATAATTACTAGAAACAATAAATTAAAACTTGAGTTTAGGCCTGTGTCGTAAACTCCTATAAACAATATTAGAAACATCATTATGCAGAAATATAAGTCAGTGCAAATAATGTTTATTTAATGTGAAGGGGTAGAGTAGAAGCTAAAGAGGTTAAAAGGTAAATGAATTAGTAAATGTTTTGTTACCTTTGTGGTTGTGCCCATTGCAGTTGCCATTTTCATATTTGAATGCATAACCTGTGATAGAACAAAAATAAATAGATCATTCTGAAGAATAACAGTAGTCTGAGTAATAATACACTCCAAGCTCTTAAAAAAGCCCTATCACATACCTTTTGTTGCATGCCTATAGATGAGATCTTAGACCCCATGGCATAACTTTTTGTCTTCTGTTTCCGTAAGGCTATCAACTGCTTGGCCAGAATTGTTGCTGCCTGTGAAATGAGTATCATAATATATAAAACATAAGGTGGCTAAAAACAACTATTATGTCAGAGGACTTACTAAGCTACAGTAGTTAACATAATAAGTTAAATGCATTGTTGTGTATTGGCAACTCAGCAAACACAAAATTACATTTTCAAACATGTACTAATCCATTCTTTATGTAAATTTGTGTAACTATTACCAGGACAGATCTCAGAATTAAAAGGAACAGAGAAGCTTGGCCCCCACCCCCAACATATTTGTATATATTCCCCGACCCCCTAAAACAAAAAGCTACATTATCATATGTTGTGAGTAAACATTTTCCTTACCTGTTTATTCCCAGCTTTTGCAGCCTTTTTTATTTCCATTTCCTAAATAATTGTTAATAATTATTATAAACTTTGTATAAATCATTTATAAATAACACTAAATAAATGTTTACATCAAAGTAAGAAACTTATTAGATTGTAATTACAAACATTTTGGCTATTGTCAGTTCAGATTCTAATTTTAAAATTTCCAATTTAAAATGTTATAAAGTAAGGCCAAACAAGATGCTAAAAAATTATATTAAAAGGTTCACTAAATGCGATGTTGTTAAAATAGTTTTCATGATCTCACAATTTTCTTTTCTTCTCTTTCCAAAGCATTTCTATCTCTGTCTAAATCTCTGGTTTGCTTTCTTAATATTCTGTCATTGGCCCGCACTTGCTCTAAAATGAAATAGCACAGATTGAAATAGTTAAAAAGATAATCATAATCACTACAATTAAATAAAATGATGGATGATTGTTTATACCACTGTCTGACAACGGATTCGTCCGGCCTATTGTCGGCGTTGTACAGTCAAGTCTAAAAATAAAATGTCAACAAACACGAACTCACTTAGGCGTAAATAGGTTAGGTAGCACTAGGCATCGAGAAACTGAGATGTGTAGTTTTTGAAGATAGAATACTTTGATACAGGTCGGTGTAAGAAAATTTGAAGTAGGACTATATTAAATTTAAATTATTAGGGCCCTAGGCCTAACATATCACACAATTGATTACAGGCCTTGGACACATAAAATGTCAAAATCAACCCACCTCATTGCCATAAAGATAATAAACATAGTATGATGTTTGAAGCGTTAAAAGTGGCATAGGCATAGTATAATCTTACTAGTCCCAATTTTTTCTTTGTGTTGTACTTAAACTGCATTTTACTAAACATTTCTGTAATTGGAGTTTGTTTTTATAAAACTTGTCAGCCTAATGTCCAGTCTGCCTTTTGTCTGGATCCCTGTGCAGCACTATTCCTAATTTGTCAATTCTAACCATTAGCCCTGACTTGGACGAAAAGGCCTGGACAAAGTGTCGACAACACTATCCATTCATCATAATTTATTAACAGGGTTCATGCTCAAAAGTTCAAATAAAATTCCAGGAGTTTTCCAGGACTTTTCCAGGAGTTTAAAAAAAAATTCAAGGAGATTTTAAAAACAAAAAAGAAACCCAATTTGTACATTTAAAAAAAAAAGCGTATTTAATAATACATTTAATTAGCTAAGCCAATGCAAAATTTAATTTCAGTAAAAGTAAAACTATATTAGTTACATATTAGGATAGAGGCTAAATCTGACTACAGACCAGTTTGAATTTTCAAAATCTGACCATAAACAAAATAGATTTTTCAGACAACCGGTATAGACCCTGAAAGAGAAAAAATACTGGGAGGGTATGGACCAAATTTTAAAGAGTTTTTCACTATAAAAGAGGTATAAATGCAAGCAGACTTCACCAATTAATATCATTTCGTGATATTTTATTGATTTTTGGATGCCAAATCCAATGATGCTAGGCTAGTCGGCCAACCCGATGAACGTGTCAGACGAATATTATGTAATTTCGGAGACAAAAGTCTGGCAAGATTTCTTGATCTATGCCCGAGGATTAGTAACATCAACTCCACAAAATGAAAGGGGAAGGGAGGTGGGGTATGAAACTACCGTACGGGTGTTACACAACATCAAAGGCGACGATCGTCAGCTTGTCGCGTCACGGCACGGAGTAGTGGGGGCGGGTTGAGGCTATGGATGTTACGTTGGAAGTTACATACCGTGTAGGATGGTCAGTGTCTTACTCCACCCACCCCAGCCCATTTTAGTAGATTTGGCAAGCTAGTATTAAGCGTATTAACAATTTTTAGTCAACCGAAAAAAAGAGCCACTGGAAAAATTTAATTTATTTTCTATATCCATTTTTACGAAAAATTAATGTATAATGTATAAAATAAAATAATGACAATGATACGTTACGCGAATCGGCATTGTTTGATTGGGTCGCAGCTATCCGGGTTAATTTCTAAAGAAGATTAATTTTGATGATTAGTCCTGAGCCGTAAATATTACTACAACTTTTTTTTGCTGTTTCAATAGTTTAAGACAAAGTTATGAAACATGCCTGTCTACTTTAAAAATCCAATAGCCTACAAGTCAAACACGGGAACACATGTAGACCTATCTATCTTTAGAATTTGTTTATAGTATCATCCAATCGGGTCAATCGCCTAGCGTGACATGACCACACACTCGGCTGTGCCACACGATGTGTAGATCACGGCAGTGCGATTCAGTCGGACGACGGCCGATGCGTTTATTTTTATTTTCGTTCCATTTAAAAACTACTATTCAATTATTGGCGGAACAAAATCAAATAATTTCGGTCGGGTTTTGCGAGACGGGTTAATAAAATTTCATGAGATTTCATTAGAATTTTTAAAATTTCAGGAGAATTCCAGGAGGTTTTTATATTTTTTCAAATTCCAGGAGAATTCCAGGAGATTTTTACGTTTTTTAAGATTCCAGGAGTTTTCCAGGACCTCCTGGAATTTCAGGAGGCCGCACGAACCCTGTATTAATTATATGTCGAGATCCCAGAAACATGAAATAATTTAGGATCAAAAGGGTAGGCCCATCTAAACTACTATTAAATTAAATAACTTTAAATAGGCCCACAAACTTTACACTCTAGCTTAAGACTAAAAATAGTAAATTTACTAAATTACAAGGCCTAGGTGTAAGTTTAAAACCTATAAACTAGTATAAACTAACTAGGCCTAAATACTAGACTCGAGAATTTCCAGATTAGAGATTTAAATGATTCATGATGACAGTATGTCTATGTATGAGTGGGATGTAATTGTAGGTAGATGTATTATTAATTATTACCTTGAACAGTTGGTTTTTTCGTAAATATTCCAGAAAATCCTGACATTTTAATAAATATATTCTAAAAACAAAGAACTCTATTATTAATTTATAGTTGACCTGGCTTGTCTAGTCTTTGAAGTTACGTAGCTCTGGCAAGTCTAGATCTAGATTCTAGATCTAGATCAAAAACTAAGAAGTTCAGTGGACTAGTGACAGTGATTTCACTAATAATTTATTTTTATAATTTAAATTTTTGTCTACTCTTTCTTATAGTATAGTAATCTTATAGTCATTGCTTGTCTAGCCGATGTATTCTATTCTTTTACAATTTCTTTTAACAGTTAGTGGCTAATTGTATTTACTTAGCCTATTAGATCTAAGTTAATTTGTAAATCTAGAGCTAAAAAACCATAACACTGGACGACTAGAAAAAAGCAGTGCAGAACAAACTTCATGTGATGTTGACGAATGAGTGTTGATGAATATATTTGGGTCAAAACCCGGAAGTATTAGTTCTAGGTCTAGATTAGTAACTGTTACACATGCCAATTAGGCATAGAATGCAAATTTTTATATTTTAGAGATCATTTTCAACAAATTAAACTGAAATTGACACGGAAGTAGATCTAGACTAGATCTGTTTTAAATTTATTTTAAAAAATCGCTAATAATGTAGGTGTTATAGCAGACATATACCAGTGCTATAAATACAATACTTTACTTTTAGCATATTAGCAATTATAGTTTTTACATATACCGTGTTACTGTTAATGTAGCTTTTCAAGTAATCTAGTTAAGTATATGTATCTAAACTAGATCTAGATCTATATCAATCACCCTCTTCAAAAATTGGGTCTAACTTGCACAAGTTAATTTTGTAAAACTGAACCATACCGTAATTTTACATCGTTTGTAATTTTTAGTGTAAAAGACAGTAGCAAATATTTTACACATGTTATGAAAATTGAAAAATATTAACTATTTTATTTTAATTTAATAGCCTTAAATTTTAAACAATATATATCTAGCTAGAGAATTTTTAGAATATATTTCTATTTTAATTTCTACTTGATTTGATGTTCTGATCCTAAAACATTAATTTTAATGCTTTTACTTGTATGCCTACTAATCATAAATAATCTGGCATCTTGAGTCTAGCAACAATGGCGTCGTCTCACGCATCTAAAGTAACGACACTAATGCCGAAAAAAGAAGATGCATCAACCACTGAAGCAACAAAGCGTCCTCTCCCAGCAGAAGAAGATCCAGATGGAAATTCTAGTACTGATGTCGGTCGGAGAAGTAGACGAAAAAGAGCAAAAGTAAAATGACTAGATTGCTATTCTTAACCCTGGGCCTGTGTGACTGCTGTGTGTGTGTGTTTGGCGGTGAATCTGATTAATGATTTTCAGCATTTTTACTCTAAACTCTAGATCTAGATCTAAATTAAATATACTAAATCAGTCTAAGTAAAGTAGTCTAAGTAAAAAAAGTTCTAATAATTAGATCTAGCCTTAACTCCTAACAAGAGTACTCTAAACTCTAAGGCGTCTAAGGCTAATCTACGAGTCTAAAATTTATTAATTTAATGTTGTAGACTTCTAACTTGCCTAAGTCTACTCAACTCAAAGTCTAAACTCTAAACTTAAAACTAGTCTAACTCTAAGACTCTAAGACGAAAGTCTAGCAGAATCTAGATCTAGATCAGAGTTCTAGATCTAGGTTTTACTGTACCATTCCAGAATAATAACTGACACTGTATTGTGAGATTACCGAATCTAGATCTATTCTAGATTTAGGCATTTTCAGTGTTGGGTAGCGGCTGCAAAACGATGGGCTAGTTAAATCTAGTTTCAAGTTCTAAATCAGATTTGAACTCAAATTTTTAGTTTAGGAAGCTGTTTTTCAACTAGCTTGTAGAGTAACTAGTTACTCAGGGTTACAGTGTCATACTCACATGACCATAATAATAAATTTGCTCCATTACATCGGTTGGGCAGTTTGGTTTGTTGTTCTTTTGATTTCATTGTTTAGTTTAGGCCTCCAGCCTCCTTTTTGAAGTACTTGTGAAAATGGCATGTCATTTCATTAAATGCTAACTTAGTTAAAAAAAAATAATAGGCCTAAAAAATAGATATATTCAATACACACATTTTATAATAAGTATGCCATAATTGATAGGCCTAATAGATCTAGTTATTTTTTAATTAATAATTAAGTCTATGCATCACTTCTGTTGGTCAGACTGTAAGTTTTAATATGTTATTTAATTATTCAATTACTTTTTGTTCATTTGCGCATCATTAGGAAATTTATTAGCAGTATTCTGTTATTTATTTTTATAATATAGTCCGGTGTACATTTGTTTAAATTTTAGGTTGAATATAAAGAAATGGATGAGCACTTAGCTCATATTTCTGAAGATGAATTTTACTCAGAAGAAGATAAAAAAGAGAAAAACAAAGATGCAAAGTCTAAAGACAAAGAAACTAAAGATGCAGTAGCAAAAGAAGTGAAAGAAAAAGATAACAAAGTTACAAAACCGGATGAAGAAGTAGTTGCTGATGAAAGTGATCATTCTGCTGATGATCCTTCAGGTAAAATATATTATGTTAACAAAATAATATTTTGAATAATCTTGTCTACATTTTTTTTGGCCTGAAAATCATTCTGTATTTCATTATGGTTTCTCTTAGTTTTTAAAAACAAAGAGAACCCATAATTAATTACTAGTTTTTAAACCTAGTGTATGTAATTGTATTGATTGCAACATTTTTTAAAACTTGCCTAGGCTTAGAAGGGGCTGCATTTCAAAGTAGACTTCCAGTAGATAAAATGACATCACAAGAGGGTGCTGCTTTCCCAGATATTGTTCAAGGACCACCTCAGTCCCAGAAGGTTTTTCTTTATTTGAGAAATAGAATTGTAAGTTTTTATACTCTATTAACTAGTAATGGAATTTTTGTTTTTTTTGTATACCTTAAATAGCATTTACACTTTCACCATGTATCTAGAGGGAAAAACTTGCAAGTTTATGTTATATGAAAATGTTATATACTAACTTGCTGCGAGTTTTTTTTTTCTAGACTGTAAAGTATGCATGTCACAAGTGTAAATGTGGTATTAAAGTGTATTGTAAATAATATATTGTATTTTATATATTAGTATTCTTAAGTTTTTCTTTGGTTACTTTTCTAAATTCTTTTTTTATTACTTTAAAAAAATTATTAACATACATCATTAACTTGATTTACCATTATATTATTATTTTTTACCCAATTTAACACTATAGTTGCAACTGTGGCTAGAGAATCCCAAACAGCAGCTTACATTTGAGTCTGCCCTTCAGGATATTGAGCCCCCTTATAACAGTAAGAATTAGATGCATTTTTTTAAAAATAAAGACTCAAACTTTATACAATTATCTTAATTGGATTTCTGAAGTATAATTTTTTTTCTTCAGGTGATGGACAGTTAGTACTTAGAGTCCATGCCTTCCTAGAACGTTACAGCTTTATCAATTTTGGAATATTTAAGAGACTTAAGCCACTTCCAGGTAATATTGTATTAATGTTAATAGAAGACTAAGTTGTGTCTGAAATTGTACAATTGTTTTTTATTTTTAGGTTTTATGCATTAACTATTATTTTGTATACTTCTCTTAAAACAAATTGTTGGAATGAATCGATTAATACAATATTGTGTTGCATGCTACATTTATTCCCTTTTTATAGCATTTTATTCTCATTTTGCAATAATTTATACAATTAGTTTGCACTGTTCTTGGTTTAATTTCAGCCAAAAAGAACTGTAAGGTTATCATCATAGGAGCTGGTATTGCTGGGCTTGGTGCTGCAAGACAGCTGCAGTCTTTTGGGGTGGATGTTACTATTCTGGAATCTCGGGTTAGTAAATAAAGTATACATTTTTTTTATATTGTTAAAGACAATCAGCCCTATTTACAACCAATGATAAAATTAATAAATTTTGCTATTTTTTGTTAGGATCGTGTAGGGGGGAGAATTCAAACATTCCGCAGGGGTAATTATGTAGCAGACTTGGGAGCTATGGTTGTTACTGGACTGGGTAAGTTTTTTAATAAATGTTTTCATACTAATCATTTTTAAACTTATTTGTTATAACTGAAGAATTTTTATTATTCAATTACCATATATCATTTCAATGACAGGAATAATATTACTGTTTTCTTTAGGTGGTAACCCTGTGACAGTACTAAGCAAGCAGATCAACATGGAGCTACACAAAATCAAACAGAAATGTCCATTGTATGAGAGCAATGGTTGCACTGTACGTAATTGTTAAAGCTGAATGACATTTTTCATTACACCTATCATTTTTTAATAGTTACTAATAATGGCATCAGTGCTAGGCCTATATTCTTTAAAATCTTTAAACGTAGCAACTTTTATCATTTGATCTTTGTTTAAATTGAAAATAGTGTTGTCTGCTTTTCACAGTAATGATCAAAATCATATTAGAAAATGATGTTTAGTTTTCACTCAGTTATCTGATTCTCCTTGGTAATAAAAAAATGTTTTTTTTTAATATTAAATTATTTTTAAGGTTTTAAAAGAAAAAGATGAAATGGTTGAAAGGGAATTCAACAGACTGCTGGAAACCACTTCCTATCTTTCACATCAAGTCAATTTTAATGAAATAAATGGCAAACCTGCATCTTTAGGACAAGCCTTGGAAGCTGTTATTAAGTGGGTTTTGATCATTTTATTTAAGCAGTACTGTCAGCTTATTCTTGAGAACTGTTAAATATTTTAAAATTTACTAAATAAATAAGTCAATTTTCTTAATATATTCTATTATTAGGTAAATCTTCTATCCATTTAATTTTGGCTTATATTGAGAACATTATGAAACATTTTTCCATTAATATTAAAAATTTTTTTCCTAATTTAAAAGGTTGCAGGAAAAACATGTTAAAGATAAACAGTGTGAACATCAGAGAAGTATAATTGAAATGCAAGAAAGGATTCGTAAATGTCAAGCTCAGGTAAGTTATAGTTTCTGATTTTATGTTTAATTATTTAAAATTCCTTTTACGATTTACACTTTCTTCACAAAGTTTTACAGATAGAAAGTTCTATTGTTACCTAAATTATCATTTCTCATTCAGGGGACTATAGTAATTTGTGTTTAAATACTTTTTTTGTAGATGTTGACTCAAAAGGATCGTGTTCAAGAGTTACACAAACAGTGGAAGGAAGCATCAGATGTAAAGCCACCAAGGGATATTACTGCTGAATTTCTTGTGAAAAGTAAACTTAGAGATCTTACAGCTGCAATTAAGGTTTGTAAACTAAATGGTTTATATTAAAGACATGGTTAAACAATAGAACATTAATTACTTTTTATGTAAACCTTTTTTAGTTAAATAGTTTGAATTTATCCACTAAAATGTTGCAGTCAGCTTTACATTCATAGTTGTTTTGTTTATTTATGCTTTTCATCATAAAAAGAATTGAATAAATGTGTATTAGAATAGATTTAAAATAAATTGGTAAATTATTTTAAACAGGAGTATGAGCAGTTGACAGCAAAGCAAAAGGAAATAGAAGATAAGCTACATGAATTAGAAGCCAATCCACCAAGGTATGTTGTTACTTTCAAATACGTTGGATTATGGGTGATTTTTTAAAACTGCTTTTATTTTAAAGCTGAAATGGTTGAAAAAAAAATTTAAAATTTATCTTTAATAAAGAAAATAAATGACTATAAAACTGCTGACAAGTATCAGAGCATAGCATATAATTTCAACTCTTGTTGTTTTTGTTTTACGTTTTTTATGTACCAATTACTTATTGTACATTTTTGAACAAAATTGACTCCCTTGAGTAATCAAAACTTGTGTTGTTATTTCAGTGATGTTTACCTATCCTCAAGAGACAGACAGATTCTAGACTGGCATTTTGCTAACCTGGAGTTTGCCAATGCTACACCCCTGTCAAATTTGTCCCTCAAGCACTGGGATCAGGATGATGATTATGAATTCTCTGGAAGTCATTTAACAGGTGGTTATCCCATTCTTAGAAATTGTTACAGAAATGAATTGTGTGATGTTCAAATATTACTGGTGAATTTTGGCTCTCCTTATTTGACATGTATAAATTTCTTTTCTAGTGAGAAATGGCTACTCATGTGTTCCAATGGCTTTATCTGAGGGGTTGGACTATAGATTGAATACTGTAGTTAAACACATTAAAGTATTAGAGAAAGGTAGCTATCCACTAATTTTGATTTATGAGAATGTTTGTATTAAAAGTTATGAACATTGTATTGCTGTTTGGTAATGTAGTTAGTTTAGACAACTAAAAAAAAATTAAGCTGAATAATAAAGTACCTTTAGCATTAATAGTATTTTCGGTTCAATAACAATAAAACTAATTTTCTTTTTCTCATTAGGTGTTGAGGTTGTAACAACTGCTAAAAATGGGTCAAACCAGCAGACATTTAAAGCAGATGCTGTTCTGTGTACTTTACCCCTGGGTGTATTAAAAGAATGTATCAATAATGTACCAAATGTTCCACACTTCATTCCACCTCTCCCTGACTGGAAGGCTGATGCTATTGCTAGACTAGGCTTTGGAAATCTCAACAAGGTAACTGCTGCAATTGTACATAGATGGGGTAAAAATTCAAAACCCTGAAATTCTGTCCTTTATATCCATGTTGATCTATCTCAGATTAAGCAAATTTCAAAAGAATACAATTAAACCTTAACATACTTGATAAGCATTTCACTACATTCAAATACAACTTTCAAAAAAAATATTTTGTATTTTTTGTAAAGGTATTTTATTCTAAAAATAAATCTATTTTTAGGTTGTTTTATGCTTTGATCGAGTGTTCTGGGACCCAAGTGCAAACTTATTTGGTCATGTGGGTAGCACAACCGCCAGCCGAGGTGAGCTCTTCCTGTTCTGGAATCTCTACAAAGCTCCTGTGTTGCTGGCACTAATAGCTGGGGAAGCTGCTGCTATAATGGAGAACGTTAGCGATGACGTTATAGTTGGCCGTTGTCTTGTTGTGATGAAGGGTATATTTGGTGCTAATGCAGTACCTCAAGTAAGTTCTATTATTATTATTAATATACTATTCTTTATTTAGAATATAATAATTTAATAATTTAGTTCTAATGTTCCTTGAAAATGTTTCCTGAGGATTTAATTAAAAATAATAAATTGTGGCTCTCCTTAGTTGAAACTTCATTATACAATTTCTTTTGTTCAGCCCAAGGAAACATTAGTGTCTAGGTGGAGAGCAGATCCATATGCACGTGGATCATATTCATATGTTGCTGCAGGATCATCTGGTAAGCTATTCTACAACATAGTATTTTTATGCTTTAGATTATTTTTGTCACGAACCTGTGAGAAATTCAGTGTCAGAAATACTTAATACTATAATAATAGCTGAGGGTTATAGTGTAATAACCTGTACCTATCTTCTACAGGGAATGATTATGACCTTCTCGCATCACCAATTGCTCATCAGTCAGGTGCACCAGCTCGTTTGTTTTTTGCTGGAGAACACACAATACGTAATTATCCAGCTACTGTCCATGGTGCTATGCTGAGTGGCTTCCGTGAAGCTGGACGTATTGCAGACAAGTTTTTAGGAGCGCCATATTGTGCACCACAAGCCAAACCAAATATCATTGTTGTGCCTGATGCTTAAAACACTGTCCTGTATTGTCCTATTTATGACTGAACAATGAGGCATTTGTGAGACTTGGGGTCAGAATGTGACCTTATCACCCATGTATTTATAAAATGTGTTCCTTGTTTTTAACTGCTTCTGGTATCCAGTAGAGTCACTAAAACAAATATTTCATTCTTTTCATTTTATCTGTTATATCATTTATGTTGAAATACATAACCATTTACAAATATATTGTGGGATATGTTGATTGATGACAATGCAAATGGCTTAAGTCCAATATATTTTAAAATAATGTTAAAAAGTTATTAATTGCTTGTATGTTTTAGTTTAGTTTATAATGTTGACACTTATACTAGAGGTAATAAACTAATTATGAATGTGCTAAATAAGACCCATGGTCTCTTAAAGTGTGAAAGATGTATTACTTTAAATGGAGCCATGTATTTAAATTACCTGTAAATATGTGCATACAAAATTTACAAAGTTGTCTGTCCAAAATTAATTACTGTTCTAAAGTATAACTACTTTTTTTATGTTATTGTAGTTTTAATTATCCACTTGAATTAAAAACAAATACTTTCTTTACAATAAATGTTTTTAGGTAAAGTTAGGATTTTGTTTTTATTTTAAAAACCTGTTTACCTTTTCTGTTATAAAAAAGAGAGAATGTATACATTTTTCAACATTTTAACTTAAATTCCATTACTACACCTCATTAAAACATTTACTGATATCTACAAAATTATGAAACCATAGAATAGGAATATTTAAGAATTTTCTCGAATTTTAAATACCGTTACTCTTGAAACGTACTTGAAAATGTTTTAATCATTAATCACATAGTTATGCAGAGTAATGTCAGACACTCCACCATTAGACCATTAGGTTAATTAATTGTCTTAAGTGTTATGTTAGCAGTCTTCTATTCTAAGGGAAATCTATGCTTGAAAACAATCCATCAAAATTATTCTCTTCTCTATGGAATTGCAATATCTTAGTGACCTCTGCCTACTAAATAACTTATTGTGAACAGGTAAATAATAAAATAGCCCGCTAATTATGCATAACAAATCGAACAGTATTGCCACAGAGTTTCTTCCAGGCATCTCTGGGGGGGGGGGGGGCTATATCCCCACTCCCGAAAGAAAGTACCGACCGACCTCTCCCCCCCCCCCCCCCCCCCCCAAGGATATGGTATTTATATAGAAAATATATACTTTTAACAGTGTCCTCCCACCCCAGAGGAAAAAGTGGAAGAAACAGTGGCCACAATATGAAATGATATTGTTTCCCACCACGCTATGTTCACACACTCTGAGGTTGTATATAGGCCTACTTGACCAATGAAATTTTACAATGTGATGCCACTCCCTGATCCCCCTGCACTCATGATACATTGAACACTGATCAGTAGACAATACAATGCTGTGTAAAATTTGCATTTGGTGTTACCCTCACGCCCTCCGATTTACAAAGGTGTTGTTGTGGCTTGGCTGTGCAATTAACTATCCGCCTCTCTCGCGCTCTGGATATGAGCTGACAGTAACTGTTAACTATTTCTTCTGTATACTACAGATCAGAGGCGTGGTGGGGGGGGGGACATATGTCCCCGGGCGCCGACCATAGGGGGGGGGGGGGCGCCAAATTGAAAGTTTGAGGGGGGGGGTGCAAGTGAAAAGTTCGAGGGGGGGGGGGGGCAAATTGAAAGTTTGTCCCCGGGCGCCGGGAAGGGTCGCTACGCCTCTGCTACAGATTCTATTTTTTTATAAGCTTTTATTGTATGTCTGTTCTCCCGACTAGATTTGTGGCTAACCCTTTAATTCAACTCTATCGCGGCGTTTGGACGTGTTTCTCCCACCCCGGATGGATGTGTGGGGTGGCTGGTTGTGCCCAAGCGACCCGGAGAAATAAATAAAAGTAGCTCTTTCCCGACTAAAATTTTCAGTGTTTTCCTCAACCCAAGCCCGAATTGAGGACAGATGTCTGCAAAGTCAAGGGTTACTTAACAAAATGCAGTATACATGTAATATTTAGCAAAACGACAAACAGGAAGGGTTAATTAAATAACGACATTTAAAAATAAAAGCGCCAGAAATCTAAATATGGCTATTAATAAGCTATAGCACTGATCCTGGCGCCCACCGGGATTTTTCCGACGGCCCAGTCCACTGCCTAAAAGAAACATTGGTTGGGTTAGGTCAGTTAATGCTAAGTCAGATCCAGTGGCGGAACTAGAAAAAATGGGCCACCCCGCAAAAATTTTTTTTGGGCCCCCCTATATATGTATATATATATATGTATATATATATATATATATATATATATATATATATATATATATATATATATATATATATATATATATATATATATATATATATATATATATATATATATACACACACACTCAAACACAATACGAATATAGGATACTCCTTTCTGGCCTGATCGAGTTTTGAAAAAAAAATTCAATTAAATCTAATCACACCAGCATGTCATGTGTATGAGTGCATTGGTCTGTTTTGAAAAAATCTCTGTTTTCATGTACATAAAATACTTCTAATCATTAAGTCGGTCAAAAGTGTATGAAGCTTTGTATAAGTAATGGTGTCTCGTGTTATGTTTATTTTTATGTTTTTTTGTATTTATATTATTAACTTTAACTACGTTTCATTTTTATACTATATCAATCTTTAGTACTTATTTTTTTTTTTAAAATAATAATTAAGATAAGTAATTGCTTTTTAATTTGATTATTAAAAAGAGTTTTTGAGCACCCCTATTTGACTATTTGAAAAAGGGAAATAATTTATGCAAGTGGTTTGAACGTTTGCCTATCTTTCACACTACAGCTGTGTTCATTTTTTTTTTAAATTTTACGCAACAGCATGTCTTAGCTACTATATAACATAACTACTGTATTAGATCTGTATTCTGTTTGTTACTTACAAAACCACTATCAAGTTGCCAGTGACGAAACTAATTTATATATATATATATATGTATATATATATATATATATATATATATATATATATATATATATATATATATATATATAACACGCTATCATTCGTGTATTCATTTGAGACGTCTGCCTTGTTCTCTAGAACAGTGGTTATTAAACGTAAACAATGTAGGCATTTATTTCTTGGATATTAGTTGTTGGAGCGCTAGTTTATCAAAACTACCACCGATTCGAGCCAGCGTTGTTGTTGGAGCGCTAGTTTGTCTACACTACCACCGATATGAGCCAGCTTAGTTGTTGAGGCGCTATCTATTCGCTTCTTGTAAGGCTAAGAGCGGGAGGGGAGGTCTGAGAAAGGAACTTAAAAGGGACAACAAAGCACCAATGTGATTTTATCCATCAGTACCAAATTTGGGATGGTCTCAAAATGCCGTCTTAATATCTAGCGGTCTCTCGCGCAATAGATGTTTTTTCAAAAGAATTTTGCCGACAACAGCGTGTGTTTGTAGGAAAAAGAATATACAAGTGCGTGGGATGGTGTCTATAGAATAAAGATACTCCAACCACAGCTACGGTATTCTTTTTCAAAACAACCATCAGGTCAAAAATGCAAGAAAAATAATTTTAACTATAACAAATTTTTTATGGGCGGCTGTGGGCCCCCTAAACGGCTTGTTCCCCCCCCCCCCCCAGGCATTGCGGGGTCTGGCGGCACTGTAGTTCCTCCCCTGGGCTGTCCTCAACAGCTTTCAAAGTTTTCATGGCGATTGGGTAAATATGCAGTAATGCAAAATAGACAGAAAAATGTTTTTCACATGCACAACTGTATGTGGCCAGCTCACGCGTCGGATAACCTTCTGATTTAAGGGGGGGGGGGGGGGGGGGGGGGGAATCCACAAATGACGTCACATTTTTTAACGACTAACAAAAAGCCAGACCCTCACACACCCCCACCTCAATAACATCATTTATAAATAGTAATTGACTATTAATTATATAATAATGTTCAATTAATTTTAAACGTTCTAATTAATTTCTAAATAATTATATAAAAAAATAATCTTACCTTCCTTGTTTTGTGAATTAGATGTGCCTAATACTAATACTATGCAAATAAATCAATATATGTTGACTAGTGCTGTCTAATGTCAGACAAAATGTGCTAAAGTGGTGAATCGTACGGTTAGGAAGTAGTTCATAAACGATACATTGGTCTACTCGATACTCGATAAAAAAGAGGGATGGGATGGGGGTCGGCTCGGGAAAAAATTTTGAAAGAGACAACAAAGCGTCTATGTACCACCGCCCATTAAAAAACTTACTCAGGGGAGATAATTCCAAGTAAAGGCCTTAAAAGTTTACTATGATATTTCTTGTAAAAGTAAAAAACAAGTAAACGTATATAAAAACGAAGTTTCTAGTATTATATTCTTTTTTATTATTTGTAGGATTCAAGATAGTACAGAATACAAATTCAACCACTATCACAAACACATGTACAATGGATTTCGGCGGGTCCCTAATTTATGCCGCAAAGTAGAACCGCGCATCATGAAAGCCACTTCATATGTAGCGGCTTCTCGTGCTATGGTCTTTGTTGTTTTTTTAAAAAGAATTTTGCCGGCGACAGCGTGTGTTTGATTGTGGGGAAATAGAACTCGGCCTTGACGGCCTTAAAAAATACAACTATAAATAAAAAGAAATTTGATCCCCATCCCCTGCCCCATCCGCCACAGTACACTTTGGAGGATCGGTCAAACAGTTACGTGTCCTCTATTTAGCTATTAAAGGGGGGCAACGAGTCAAATGTGTCATTCAAATTTGAAGCGTTGCCTATATTTTACACTGTATTTTGTGTAAAATCGATTTTTTTTTTGCTGAAGAGCGTGGTATAGTGACTGTAAAATAAAGATAATCGTACCGCAGCTACAGTGTTTTTCTTTTACAAACTAAATATCAAGGCAAAAATGCACGAAAATTAAATTCAAAATAAAAAAAAAATACTAATTATGGTCAGCAGTGGGCCCCTAAACGGCCTGCCCCCCCCCTCGAGTTTTTCTCTATATATTTTGCTATGTTTTGCCTTGGTGTCACCCCCCTAAATGGTGTCACCCGGTGCGGTCCACCCCCCCCCCCCCCCCGAAGAAAAAAGTCTGGAAGAAACACTGCCAAAGACCCACCCATATTATAACAGAATATAACCCCTCCCCGTTACGGGCTAAACATGAAATTAAACATTAATACATTCAAAGGTGATATAGATCTTTTGGTTGTTTTTAGGCTTAAAAGCTAGATCATTGTATCCTAAATTTGATTAACTTTAATGTATTTAGTGTTAATAACTAATGTTCAATTAATACGTGTACTAATTATAAAACAATTAATAATATAAAGACGAGCCTTACCTTCCTTGTGTAAATTAGACTCGTCAACAAAATACTTCATCAGGTAAATGAACAACTACTGACTAGTGTCTTTAACAAAATGTGCAGAAGTGGTCAGTTTACAGTTCAGTAGTTCATAGACGGTTCGTTAATCTATGCATTACATCTTATTGTAAGAGTAAGATTGTGGTGAGGGGTAGAGGTGAGGGGTAGGGGTGAGAGGGGGTTGAGGGGGGAGGGGTGAGAGTTGGGAAGGTTCAAGGGAAGGGGACTAGAAAGTGCCGATAAACATCTACATCAATAGTGCCGACTTTTTCCGGTCGTCTAGAAGACCAGAATAGTCGCCGTAACATTTCCCCAGCCCGATTTCAAAGCGTGCCGGCAAAAACTTCAGATGCTTCGCTAAAGGGAGATAACTTAAACTTTCACAAGTTTATTGATACAGTTGTTAAAGTAAAAATGAACGCAATTATAAATGTATGACATCGAAATAAATAATTATATTTTTTGTAGAGTCCAGGCCAGTAGTTTAAACACACAATCATATATATATATATATATATATATATATATATATATATATATATATATATATATATATATATATATATATATATATATATATATATATATATATTTAATAATGTAAACAATATAACAATCCTTTTTTGTTCTCCTAATCGACGCCACTAAAAGTAAAAAGGTAGGTTACGTCTTTGAAGTTGTCTATATGTCTGGCGGTCTCTCGAGCTATAGTCTGTGCATTTTTCTCAAAGACGTTTGCCGACTATCGTGTTTTTTTGTAACTGTAGAAGAAAGATAACTCAACCTCCACCTAATTTAAAAAAAAAAAAATTAATTAAAAAAAAAAATTTTTTTTTACATTTTTTTTAAAAATAATTTAGCCAGGATTTTTGGGCCCCCAATCGGTCTGCCCCCCCCCCCCCCGCATTGCGGTGTCTGGCGGCACTGTTGTTCCGCCCCTGCGTCTTTGAAGTTGTCTATATGTCTGGCGGTCTCTCGAGCTATATTCTGTACATTTTTTTCAAAGACGTTTGCCGACTATCGTGTTTTTTTGTAACTGTAGAAGAAAGATAACTCGACCTCCACCTAATTTTAAAAAAAAAATTTTAATTTTTTTTTTGTTTTAATTTTTTTTTTACATTTTTTTTAAAAATAATTTAGCCAGGATTTTTGGGCCCCCAATCGGTCTGCCCCCCTCCCCCGCATTGCGGTGTCTGGCGGCACTGTAGTTTCGCCCCTGCGTCTTTGAAGTTGTCTATATGTCTGGCGGTCTCTCGAGCTATAGTCTGTACATTTTTTTCAAAGACGTTTGCCGACTATCGTGTTTTTTTGTAACTGTAGAAGAAAGACAACTCGACCTCCACCTATTTTTTTTTTTTTTTTTTTTTAATTTTTTTATTTAAATTTTTTTTTTTAAATAATTTAGCCGGGATTTTTGGGCCCCCATTCGGTCTGGGCCCCCCCGCATTGCGGGGTCTGGCGGCACTGTAGTTCCGCCCCTGGTCAGATCACTTACGTAAAGTTCGGTTAAGTAGTTAAGGTATGTTGAGATGGTGATCGGTAATACTTAATTAATAGGCCTACTAATAAATCATTATGGTTTTGATAATATAGTCTTGATCACTGATAAGCCATGCCCGTAAAAGCGTAGATTATGTAATCTTTGCTACAAATCTGAAGACAAGTGAAATAGATGTGTACTTTATAAAAATCGCTAATATTAGGTAGATATAGGACTACTGTTAATGTTATAGCTGGTCCTAAAATTGAAAAAAAAAACCTAATGTGTTATTAAAATGTATCTGAGGTTAGGTGCCTAAAAACAGCATTTTACACTATACTTAACTAGGCCCTACACTTTATACTAGCCTAAACGCTAACAGCGCAGTCGACTCTCTAGCGAACAGCCAATCGGTGTTGATCCAAGCTAGCCTGCCAGTTAATTGACGTTTCCATGGTAAAGTTTGTGGGAAGTATCCACTTTCGTTTTCTCCTTCGACGCCTTTTTGTTAGATTGGGTAACTGCACTAACTGGTGAACCAGACTAGATGTGTAGTGCAAGTTGATTAAGTCAATAAACTTATGTAGCAAACATAAAGGAACTATTATGTATACCATAGAGTGGCTCTATAGAGATTTAGAATAAGCCTATCTTTTAATAATTTAATTACTAATTCAGCTGACATCACGAGAGTCGAGGCCAGTCGAGGGGTAAAAATAAATTTTTAAAAATTTAACAAAGTCACCGGGGACGTTGTGTTTTACTGTTTTACTGTACATTTTACGGACACTATCGCATTTATAGTTTATATAACTCTGTGTGATTCAGTCTGCCTTCTCAGTTACAGTTATTGAGTTTCCGTTATGTGCGCCGTTATTCCGGGTGTTACTAGACCGTAACGGCTTGCTTGGATACCAACAAAATCCATGCCTGTCCCAGTGTTACGACATTCATTTACCAGACCAACACTAACAGTAACAGCAGCAGCAAATGGTGTCAGTAGTCATTGATGAATTTTTCTGAGCTTAAACTAAAACTGTTCAGTAATTTGTTAGATTGACAGTTGATATTTTGTTATAAAAATGGCTGACCACAATGAAGAAGATGGGGGTCCTGGTGAAAAAGAAATAAACAAGGCTGATAGCCCAAAGCCAGACACAGGAGATAATGATATTTCTCCACCTCTAATTAGCAAAGATCCGGATCAAGGTAAAATTGATTTAAAACTATTTTTATATGCAATTTAAGTTCATGTTTAAATTGTTTATTTATATATAAATTATTATATATAATATTAATATATTTTATGTATGATATGATTATGATAATAATGATATGAATGGCCTTCATGGTCTGTAACTATTACTATAGTCAGTCGTTTATCAAATAAGTGGGTCTAATAGTATTAGATTTATAATTTATAAATAAATTAGGTTGATGGCGAGGGCATTTAGAAGCTATTTAGCATTTTAAATTAGCGCTACCCTACATTAGACCTAACCTTAGTCCTGACTTTACAGAACCCTGATCCTCTTCTCTAAGCAAAATCTGTTCAGAACTTTTCACTATGATACTGATACTAACATATATCACCTATCCCCAACCTCATATGATGTAATAATTTCTCTAGACCAACACCCCTAATATTATATGACATCAAAACACCCTCCACACCTCCTCCAATGATGTTGCCACAAATAGGCAGTAGGTACCACAAAATGTTGGGATTTTAAAAAAAAATTATGTGAATCACATTATTTCAAAGAAAATTACTTTCTCTATTATCATTAGAAATGGTAGCTAAGTTTTATATTGATTAAAAAGAAACAAAATTTGTGATAGACAGTGGTATCAACTTATTCAAAATGATTCAAAATAGTACAAATGTTGCAAAAATAAAAATAATAATATAGACAGTTACCTTTACATTAAAGCACCCCTACCCTATATAACTCTAGCTAACCTCATAAGATAGTTTGTACCAGCCAGATTTACTGTTAATTTCTTATTGATCAATACTTTGAGAACTCTGACCAGATGATTTATTACATCTTTATTCTCCATAAGTGGTATTCTCCAATGAAAGAACCTTGAAGCGAAATAAATTGCTAAATTGTAAATAACTAATTCATTTTACTTCTTCGTCTTCATTCTTAATTGTAGTGTTGGATGAGACTTCCTCCAACACAATTAAGTATGTAAACCTGTAATGTGCCATATACAAAGTTGACTCAGATTTAGTCTGTTTTTCTTTTTGAATTTGCTTTAATAGCTTTGTCCATCCAAGAACAATCTAAAATGCAGCAGTTTGATGTTTTTTTTAGTTTACAACTATTGAGCCTCGTTTATCAGGGGTTCAAACTCAGGTTTTTTGGTTAAGCAACCTTGAGTTTTACTGACCAGACAATTTGACCCCCTTCATTTACTGTAAACTTTATTTTTACACAAATTCAGTAAACATTATATAGATTCTACATTCATATACAATAAAAATGTCTAGATTTAAAAAAAATGGACTCATTATTCCTTATAACCCTTGACCCCCTATGGGGTATTGAAAATTTACAAGTCTTATATAAAGTAAATAAAGCATGTGAAATTTTAGCTTTGACAACACATCAACTGTATAGAAGACATATGGTATTTGTCAGTTTTTTTGTATAATCAATATTTATTTATATTCATATTGGCTCTAAGGCAAGCTTGTAAAGCATAGAGTCAAATTAAAAACTATAGAGCAATTTTATTATGAGATTAATACTAAAAATGATTCTTTCTCATGATTTCATTATTTGGGTACTACATATAGTACCAATTAGTCCTCAATATATTTAGTATGTTCTTGTATTTTAAAATCTAGCTAAGAGGGATTTTCATCAGATAGGTACAGGCTCATAAAACAATTGCAAACAACATTAAAAAATATCAAATGCACTTCTTAATCCAATATCAAATATTTTAATAGAAATATATTGCTTTGTTAAATATTTGTGTTTGTGTTTGTATTTTCATTTTTTTAATGTACTATTTTCTCTGTATTCAATACCTGTAGCTCATTGAGGAATGATGTTTTATTTTTATAAGAAAAAATAAAAATCGATGTTTCCTTTTATTGAATGCTTCATGTGTCACAATTATTGTATTAAATTACAGTTAAGGACACCCACAAGTGTTTTATTTTTACTGATAATAAAAAAATCAATACCTCAGTACATAATTGACCTGATGCTTTCAGATGCAGAGAAAGAGAATGAAACTGGGGAAAAGAAGGCTGGAGGGAAGGTGTGTAATTAATTATCAATGTACATTAGTATTGATTGAATGCCACTTCGATCTAGAACTTTTGAAACTTTAATGTCCGGCTCAAATCAATGTTTTTTTTTTTTAAATTGGTACCGTAAGGTTTTGTTTGTTAGGTGTTTAATTAGATTTTTAGATATAGAAGTAGCATTTCTTTTATGAAGATGAATTATGTAGCCTACTTACAATAATATAATTTTTACAGTCAAGCAACATAAAACCTAAGCCCACTGCGGCTCTTGCTGGTGATGCCATGAAACTTAACAAGGCGAATAAAGATGAGCGCCGCATGACGGTAACCTTCTACCTTTAACACTTATATAACATCCAAAACTCGTTTGGATTAGAAGCTGTTTTCTATACATTTGCCTGCTTTTTAAAAGAATGTTTCCACCAAATTAAGAAATACAATTTGGCATAGAAATTAAAATCTATGACTCTAAGTTTTAAACCTTAATACTATAAAAGTAGGATACAAAAAAATAGGATGCCTTAAAGTTACAACTCAACCACTAACAGTCTAATGCTCAGTGTTTCTTTCTGGCATCTCTCCTCCCCTGAGAACATTTACAGCTCCCCCCACCCCTTCCAGACAAAATAGTAAAAGTATATTATTGATATTACAAATCTATACTTTAATCAGTTTCCATTCATACCCCAAGGTTTCAAGTCCCTCCCTCTAAAGTTTCAAGCCCCCCCTCCCCCTGAAAAAAAAATTACTGAATCACATTAAGACCTAGAGAAAACCAATTGATTTATTCTTACACTATTTTCTGACTTGGTCTACTAGGCAAACACTTGAGACTTATACATTTTAAATTGGCATCAAAATATGTTTTTAGCTAGAGTTTGAGAACTTGTAACTTTGATAAAAATCTTAATGCTACACTTGTGACTAAAAATAGGCCTATACATAAAATTGCCAACATATCTTTGTATGAAAACAAAAAATCAGCTCTATTAAATCAATGTCTTTCAGGTGAAATAAAAAAAAAGAAGTAGTAAACATAGATTCTACATGTAACAAAACAAGTACAGCTTGTCATAAACTTTATTAAATATTTTATATCTTTCTTTTCCCCAATTACATTCATCTTTTTACCAGTAAAAAAAAAACGCCCTATTTATTTTATATAGCCAAGGCATTCAGTTGACATAAAAGGTTTTTATTTGCTTCATCTGTTGTATTAGTTTTGTGTATGTAGTCCTTGGTTCTATAGTCTGGAGTCAAAGCATAGTTTCTTTATAATAAATCAATACCCACACCTTTGGTATTGGCTACTTGCCAACATTTCTATGACAATGGGAAAACAATGAAGTTCTCTTTTTACACCATTACCCTAAGCCAGGTCAACAGGCTACAAATCTAGCAGAGGAAAATATAATCAGCTAGAGATAAAATGGCAGGGAATATGGGTTAAGTTGGATACTTGAACACATAACTAACATCCTAGATCTATAAAGAAACTACTATTTCTCCTTTTCCTACATTTTCTTAAAAGATGTTAATATTTTAAGTACAAATTAGCTTAAAAAACCACAATTTAAAAAAAAAATGGACAATTGAATCCAAACTAGCAGAAAATTAATGTAGGCCTATTAGTAGTCCTATATAAATATATTTCCTACAAATTTTAGGTATTATTTAAAAAAATAATGTATGTTTTGCTTTCTTTTCATAATAATAACATACTTTTATTTGCTCCTAAAAATTATTTTATCCAAATAATTTAAGTGTAAGTAAAATAAAAATCAGCTTTATGTAAGAATACAGGTTTAGTAATAATTTCCTATAGGGCATAGGGCCAATGCCTAACTACAAACATTACTTAGGATTTTTAGCTTAAGTTTATCTTTGCTACAGAAAGAAATGAAATCTGAACTAATCTCAAGAATTTGATTTGGTTGTAAAAATAAACATTAGGAAAGCTCTAAAAAAATGTAAATTTTATGTCTAGCCACAAATGAATGCTTTCTCATTAAATAATTCAATACATTGGCTTGCAGCTTTTAATCATTGCAACTAGATTATTCAGTTTGCGGCATACATTCTCGGCTATATGCAAGTTACGCTGTGACTTTTATTTAACTAATGACAATCAAATAGCTCTCATAAATGTAGTAACACAGACTGTTTGACGTTTCTATACAAATGAATATAATAGCTCCCCCACAGCTGTTCAATAGGCAAAGCTAAGTAACATAATACAGGACCTTATTATCCGTGGTTCCTATGCATATGCTCAGTGGACCAGAAAGAAATTCAATTTAGTCAATGAAAAAAACTGGCTATTCCTCTCAGACCAGCTTAAAGGCAAGCCTGGTGTGATATTTAATTCTGTTAGATTGTAGATCAATAAGCTGAAACAAGGCATTGATTTTATTTGACAGATTGCCAACAGCATATGTCAGAGAACAGAATTTGTGATAGCTAATGATCAAGCTTTAAACAAAATTCCTTATACACTATACATACAAAATAAAAGATTACAATCCATTTTCAACATTGGGGTTTTAATGTTGAAACATTCATTTACATTTTTAAAGATTAATACATATAATTAAAATTAAAATACATCTGCATAATAGTAATTTACAGGTAGCAATAAACGATCATGACACCGATTTGTTCTTGAAATACCAAAAAATAAAAATCACTAAATTACTTATCACTTGGCCTTAAATATTCAATTTCTAATCTTACATTGTAGGCCTGTTTGTTACACTTACAGTTATTATGCTTGAAACAAAGGTGTATGTTATGAAAAGATAAAACCGGAATCAACACATTTTTAAATGGCATTTTCATTATGAGCACTGTCAGAAAGGATTAAATAAAAACAAATTGATTGCTACTCAGAAGATTTCATTCAATGCCCATAATCAAAATGTAGTTAGGAATTTTAGCTTGTTAGTAGCACTTATAAAGGCTAGGTTGGAAATAGTTTAGACCCCTAGGATAGAGAATGTGTGAGTTGTGGTTAGTGTTGTTGTATTATTTGCTCTAAAGTTGAATGTGGGTATAAAATGTGTGTGAACAAATGTTTGGAGGGGATTTAAATTAGATGGCTAGAATTTTTGGCACAATTTTTAAACCACTTGGGGCTAAAAATTGTTAACTGGTGTTGTTCATTGTAAAAATCTTTAGTAAGCTGTGTCTTCGTATAAGTTTTTCTAATGAGCACCATATATATGCTAAAAATAGTACAGTACTCATAATAAAAATAAAATAAAAAAAGAATTTTGAATTAGGAAAAATGTGAGTACAAGTTTAAAATTGACAAGTGTTGTTAAGGTTAGATCACCTACATCTGACCCACCATAACTCCACCAACATGATTGCAAAAACAAGCATGTACCTAGTATGTGATTTTCAAAAAGAATATAAATCAGAATTGTTAATACATAATTTGTAATTTTAGATGGACGCTCGCCACAAATATCTTGTTGTTCAATTGGCGACTGCCCTTAACCTTGATGCTGGGGCAGTGGAAGAATTTATGGTTTCAGATGACAGAGTAAGTAGTTCAAATAATTAATTTTGTAAATAAATAATGAACAAAATATCAAATTATAAAAACTGCTCCAACCCTCCTGCCCTAGCACTAGTCAGTGCCTCCACCTGGCACTTTAGAAACTGTTACTCTACAGGATGTTGGTTTGTCCCATCCAGCTCTGATAAATATCTAACGTAAGTTAGGGAAAGAATAGAAACTTGTTTGATAACAAAAACATTGTTGAAACAAATAAAAATTGAAATAAAGTTATTTAAATAGGTTTACCATTGGTTTTGTAAACTGTTTATTTATAATGGAATATTTTTAAAACTGTATTGTTTGATTTTTTAAAATATCTAATTATTTATTTTAATATCTTAATTACTTCTAGTTTGACATGATTGAAGATTTTTTCAAAGCTGATGGATCTCGCAAAATTATGTTTTTTTATCAAGATATTGCAGTAAGTTTGAATTTTTAAAATCATTCAGCTCTATCCTTTTTATAAAATGTTCATTTGATGTCAAGTGCATTTTTTTTACCACAAAAATTGTTTTTGTTTAATCAGAAAGGATCATCAGACAAGAAAAAGCTGTTCATCACCCCAGGAGATTCAGAAGTAAATTTCTAGCATATATTGGTTTTTTAAAGAAATTTTTTTTATACTTTAACATATCTCTTTAGTTATTACGTTTTTTTAACACACAACAGTAATATACAACATTCCTACAATTAGATATTTAAAGTTTTATAATATTTAATTTAATATTAAGATGAATAGTGAAATGCTACTTTTCTTACATCTTTTAGGGTCTACATGGCATTTGCTTATTTTTCCTGCGAACCACTACAAAAGCTATTACACCAGCTAACATTGCTCAGGAAGTTAATTTTAGTACAATGGATTGTACTGGTGGGAAAATCCTGGCTGGAGTCGAGAAGCATTTATCAAAGATAATTTTGCCTTCACTTAAATCTCTTGAGGCAAGCTAACAAAATTTACTTACTTACTTTAAGGTTTTAAGGTTTTCTAACACTCTTTGTTTATGCATTGATGCATCATTTAGATTTCCCTATAAAAAAAGTATTGATTTAATTTTTATAATGAACTTTTAGGCTTGGGGTACACTATCAAAAGAAAATGGAACCATTGCCCAGGCAGAAGATTTCTTGGAGCACCTTGAAAAGTTCATTAACAGTATTATGTCTGCCTTGAAAAATATGGAAGGGCAAGTAACTCTAAAAGAAAATGGACACAGCACTATCATTGACCACATTAAAGCACCAGCCGATTATCAAGACATTGGTAAGAAAACATTTATAATGTGTAAAGATGATTGAAAAATATTTTTACAGGTTAAGCTTAAAATTGTTGAAATAATTAACATTGTAAACTATTTTTTAAACCTGTTTTACCCAAACTGTTCTGATATGACATAGCTAAAGTTTTTTTGTCTGAATGGAAAGGGATATGATAAATAAATTAAATATCCACATCAGCTATAAACTTTTAGTGTTTTACATTTCATTTGAAAACATTATTTTGTTTTAGCAAGCAACAGTGAATACCTGGAAAAATTGGAAGAACTGTTAGTTCTGTGGTCAAAACAGATTGAGCAAGTCCTGGCAGAAAGTGAGCAGATGAGACGAGAAGCAGACGATATAGGACCAACAGCAGAACTGGCGTATTGGAAAAGTAGGATGGCTAAATTCAACAAGTAAGTCTTCAATTTTAACTATTTGATTAACTCTTGATGTTATTTAGCCTTCAATTCAGGGTTTATTGGGTTAAACTATGGAACTTTTGCTAAGGTTAGATTGCTAGACCACATTATCAAAAGCACTGGTGAACACACATTCTGCACATTCAGAATGATGAGAAGACAATTACTAATACACTTTTATACAAATGTAAAAAAAGTTGGTGTAACACCTTTTTCATTTTAAAAAATAATTATTTAACCCCTAGCCTCCTAGAACAGATGAAATGTCCAAGAGTAAAGGCTGTAATTGGTGTACTTCATGTTTCTAAGTCAAAATCTCTCAAAAAGTGGAAAGATTTGGTAGGTTTTTCTTCATATTCTTTATAAATTTGTATATTCTTACATAACTTGTATTAAGTCATTTTTTAATACTCTTTATGCTACCGTCTAGGATGCCCGTATTACTGATGCTGCCAATGAAGCCAAGGACAATGTCAAGTACCTGTACACCTTAGAGAAGTTTTTTGGTCCATTGGTCAAGTGTACACCTGTAAGTTCAATTTTGTTTTTAGAAATTTGATTCAAATACTTTAATGCTACTGAACAATGCTTCAACTTTGTTTGGAAAATCATTTTAAAAAAATAGAAGTTCAGTAATTGCAATATTAAATATATACTGTTATTTCAATGATATAAGCAGACAAAGATAAAGAAAATAGTCATAGTAAAGACTAAATTATTTAATTAGTGTTAAAAACCAGCAACCCTTACAGATTCATACAATTTTATTATCAAATTAAGCCTGTGTTGATGCTTTAATGTCTAAATTGGTTAGCCACTGCAATGACTTAACTATTCACACAAAAATTATTTATTTCCACAGGCCTCGATGATAGAACATATCCCAAGTCTGATGAATGCCATCCGCATGATCTACAGCATCTCCCAGTATTACAACACCTCAGAAAGAATGACCTCACTCTTTGTTAAAGTAACCAATCAGATGATCACCACTTGCAAGGCCTACATCTACCAGGGTGTTACCAAAATCTGGGAACACCCAAAGTAAGTGTTTTTAGAATCATATAAATTTGGCCACACCCAAAATAAAATTATTTAAAACCATTTGAATTGAATGTAAACACACTATTAGATTGGAATGGCGATTATAAGGAAAATGTGCAAAGACCACACGATCTTCCTTAAACTAAGAATGGGTATAGCAGGGGGAGCTTACTGGATCTAACCAGTTAAAGCACTAAACACAAAATGTTGTACAAAAAGTGCTTGTAAATTACTCTTCCTTTCAACCACCCAATCATTAGTAGGAAATAGTTTTATACATTTATAAACAGACTTATATAAATTACATTTGTGTGTTCCTCGTCAGAGATGAGCTCTTGAAGAGGTTGAATGAGTGCATCAACTTGAACAATGAGCACCAGCGACAGTTCCAGAAAACTAAAGAAAAGCTTAGAGAAACACCGTCTGAGAGGCAGTTTGAGTTCAGGTAAGCTGGGAACCTTTTTAAATCAAATAAACAGGTAACCAGTTGAGTTTAGTTTAAAGATGAATTAATTTTTTTCAGTTATCTAACAGAACTGATTAAATTGCTACTGACCATAGTGTCACTTTTTACTCAAGAGGTAATTTATTTTTATTGAAAGCTCATCCACAAATTCCCAAACATTTTCAGTGAAAACTACATCTTTGGCAAATTTGACACCTTCTGTAGAAGACTTGAGAAAATTAAAGACATGGTGAACACCATGGAACAGTTTTCAGGTTTGGTCAACATCAAGATTGAAGGCATTGACACCATTGTTGTCAGATACAAAACTATTGTTGAAACTACCAAGAAGAAGAGCTATGACATCCTGGATCATAGGAAAGGGGAGGTAAGTGACCACATACACTGTTTATATGCTGAAGTCACAGTAACATGATTTCTAGATTGTTTGCCTCTTAGACCATCAAATCTGATAGACCAACTTTACATTCCTTTTACTTTCAAGATTTGATTTATAATGTATACTCTTGTTATTTCAGTTTGACAATGACTATGTAGATTTCAAAACACAGATTGAAAATTTGCGCAGCTCAATTCAAGCTTTTATGGACTCCTGGTTTACTCGATCACTCACTGTAAGTAGTTATTAATTATTTTCTTTGTGAAAAGAAATTAGAAATCAAATTTAAAAATTAGTTAGATAATTATCAGTGATACTTTTCTAATAATATAAATTGTTAATAACTTTATTAAAAAAATTCAAATGCAATTATCTTTCACAGTTTGCTTTTTCATATCTTGTATCAGTGAAGTTAATAGTTTATTCTGAACTTAGCTTTATTTTGTGTTTTTTTTTCTAAGACCGAGAAAGCCTTGGAACTGATTGATAAATTTGAGGCCATTAGTGCAGCTCAGCTGGACTTGACAGAGAAGTACATGCGTGTGATGAATCAGTATGGACGCGACCTTGAGTCTATCCGAAAAGTGTACCAGAAAAACAAAAGTGACCCGCAGATTCCAAGAAATCTGCCACCTATTGCAGGAAAGATTGCCTGGGCTAGACAGTTGTACAGAAAGATTGAAACACCAATGAAAATTTTCAAGAACAAGCCTGAAATTTTGAAGGTAATTTCTTTTTTCATTTGAACTTAGTATTAATAGACAATTGTATAGTATTTATAATTTTTATGAAATTTAAATGTTTTTAGTCATCCAGTCATGTTTTTTACTTTCTCGTATATACGTAGTATAGAGAAAGTATTGTAATCGTGCAAAAAAAAAAAATCGAGATTTTTACAAATCTCGACGTTTTACACCTCACTGATACGGAAAAACATAATTTTGCAATCTTGTCCGTATGTCTGTGTGTGTGTGTGTGTGTGTGTCTGTCTGTGTGTCCGTGTGTAAACACGATAACCTGAGTACCGTTACTGCTAGGTTGATGAAATTTCATATATAAGTATTTTATCAAAATCGTAGATCCGTATCAACTTTTGAGCGATTTCCGATAACCGGAAGTGGTACTTTTTCTACTTTGAATTTTTCAAAAGCCTATAACTTGAGTACTATTTCAGATAGATAAATGAAATTTCACATGTAAGTAAAATATCTAATTCTCTACCTTCTGTTAAATTTTGAGTAATTTCCGTTGACCAGAAGTAGTAATTTACGCTACTTCCGATTTCTCAAAAAACTAATGTAAATTTTAAAAGTACTAATAATATTGCGCACTATTATGCGCTTTTTTATTTCGCGTTCACTTGGTGTGCAATTAATTTGTCTACGAGATTTTATTCTATTTTTAAAACTTTAAGTATTTAAAATGGATTAAAAATCATGTCTATAGCCCGAGTTCCCATCCCCTGTTATTTTATATAAAAATATTCGAGAAAGTTTAGGGGAGATCACTCCCGGTTTATTTTATTAATAGTCTGAATTTGTATTTGTAGAATCCAGAATCCAAGAAAATAGTGCGGAACTTCAACAAAATGGCTGGTGTTCTTTTAGAATATGAGGTAATTTAAATATTTAAAAACTATTAAAAGGTTTTGTTTTTCTTTTAATTATTTCAAACAAAATGGTGGTTAATATTTTAAAATTATTATTCAAAACTTGTATTAATTTAAAAAAAAAATCTTTTTTTTTGTATTTCGTAAAAATAGATGCTGTACCACAGAGGTTGGTATAGAGCAGTAGAGGCTGCTAAATCAGGACTCCATGCCTCTCTCCTTGTGAAACACCCTGAAACAGAGGAACTCTATGTCAACTTTGACACACAAATTATGGAACTTATCCAAGAGGCTAAATGGCTTCAGGTAAAGCAATTTATCTGATAATAGAAATTGGCCTACAGCTGTTTCCTAAAAAGCTTCTGTCAGTTAAAAACATTACTATAAGTTTTTACTACTTTAAAAAAACAAAGATTTCTGTACTTTCTTCACATTGGCTTCTATAAAATTTCATTTCTATTAACTTTATGTTTACTACATTAAACTTCCTCCATCTTTAAATATTTTTGAATAGCTTTATGCCAAAATAGAATATTATTACCATAAAGGCAAATTGTTTTTTCTCAGGTGATGAACCTTGATGTTCCTGAAGCTGCTAAAGAGCTGATTGTGAAGGAGGAGGTCATGAAGGAAAACTTTTTAGCGTAAGTCTAGCAGTGATAAGAAATATTTCTTATTTGAAAAATATTTAGTTTAGTTTAGCTGATCTCTAATTTTGTATCGACTTTTATTTTTCTTACAATAAAAATGTTCTTTCCTATATTTCAGATTGAATGAAATGCTTAGTGAGTTCCAAAGGATTGTTCAAGCAATTCCTACTGTGTTACTTCCCCTGATGAAGCCCTACAAGCAGAGAGTTGAAGAAGCTCTCAAACCAGGGATAACAACTCTTACATGGACCTCACTCAATGTGGACACATGTAAGCTACAATCTGATTCATTGGTAGTTTATATTTGATTATTGCCTACCTCCAAACTTACTGATATCATTGTTGAAAAATAACATCGTGACATTAGTGAATCATTTAAAGTTGCACTGTTAAATTAGTAATCTACAAGATTAATCAAATAAGCCTAAGTTTAGTTTAACCTACATAATTACTTACATTTAGTATTTTTATTTTTTACCTAACAATTTAAATTGTCATTTAACAATCACTTGGATTTCCCTGACAGACATTAAAAGTATTTACCTGACAATGCATGACCTTGAGAAGCTGTCCAAGACGGTGAAGGACATGCTGGATTGCCGCATTGAGGCTGTGCTTGACGACATGTCCGCCACCGCCCTGTGTGACCTGCCTGAGGATGAAGCTGTGACGGCTGAAAAATTTCTCCAGCTGACAACAGATATTGTCCAGTCTGCTTCGGAGATCTTGGCTACGTATGTTTTTAGCTGTCCAGTTTTTTTTGTTTTTACAACAAACACATTACTCAACTGTTTACTAATACATTTGCTCTAAGCCTTATACATTAAGTTATTTCCTTTATGTCACTTTATATTGCTTGTGTTGGTAATTATTTTTTTGCTACATGGAAAACATTTTTTGAACAGGCAGAGCCAATTGGTTGAAAGAGCTGTCAATGAACTGGTGGATACACTCAAGCTAAACCTTACAGCTGAAGAGCGTGTTGGAATTTCTCCAGAGGAAGGTTACGCATGTGCTCAGCCTGATACCAAGAATAAGAAATTAAGATGTCAGGAATGCTTGCCATGCTGTTTTTACAATTTTCTGAATTATTTCACTCAAAGAAACACAGAGGCTCTTGTTAAATGTAAGTTATTTCTGACAAATCAAAAATGCCAAGTGTTTGTACTTTAAAATGTTTTTTTTTTAGATTATTAATTCGCTTGAAAAAATTACTGAGGCTGTTGTTGAATTAATGTTATTTCTATATAATGTGGAATGGAAGATGTTGTTTAATACTTCAGTTGATATATTTTGGTTAAAATTGCTTTTAAATTCTTTGAATATTCTTGTTCATATTCAATATGTGGTTATATACATATAATTTTTAAAAGATAATATTTAATTAAAAAAACTTTAAGAAAATACAACATTTTTTCAAATAAAAAACACAATTAGGTACTCGCTTGACTATGGATGTGCTAAAGCGCAGGCTGCAAGCCAACCGCTACATCATTGGGGATGAGTCACGTGAAGAACACAAGGCACCACTGTTCCGTGTGGATGTTGTTTTGGAGATCCCCAACATTGTTGTCAGACCAAGCCTTGATGAGCTCCAGCACACATTAACCAAGGGTGTTCAGATCATTCTCAGAGCCTCAGAGAACATGAACTTGTGGGAACATCAGATTTTACACCAGCGTCAGCTTCAAAAGGTAGAGGAACATTTTGTTACACATGGACATTACTTCCTGTCACTTTCTGTAACTATTTTTTTTATCAGTTGTATTATCTGTTAAAAATTAGTTAAGGTTTTTAGAATTGTTTGAATTGTGACTAGTATTCACATTTTTCAAATATTGTTGTTTGACGATGTAATTTTATTTTTATTTTTATCAGAAAAAATGTGCAACATAAATATTTCTCTCTCTTTTTAATGTAGGAATTAGAACTGCAAGCCCTTGAGGATAAAGATGAAGGTGCTAAAATCATGCCAAGTGCAGCGCAAGCCAAGCCTCTTCACAAGGTAACTCTTCTGTTTCTAAGATTTTGATGTTAGTTTTATGTAGAGAGTTGTTTGGGACCTGACCAATCCTGTTCTCCGCTTGTCTTGGTTAGGTGATCAGTGAACACAAGGACATCACCAAGATTGTCATCCAGCTCAACTCTATCATCAGCACATTCAAAGGAGACGTGCAAGAGTGTCTAGAAAACTTTACTAACTATTCTGAGCTGTGGACACAGGTCAGGTTTCTTCAATCTTAGTTTTTAACTGTTGCACATTTTTGGAGATATCAACTGAGAAAATATAAAAATAAAAATTCTACCCAGTTGGCTTAAGTATAATTTTTTAATAAATGCTGATTGATTAAGATACAAATATAATTTCTGTCATTTTTAAAGATTTTCTTTTAATTAACAGGAGCCTGAGACTAAAGTCAAAGAGTTCATGGCAAACAAACCAATCATGTCAGAAATAGAAGCTCAGATTCGCTACTACCAGGTGAATTCTTGAACTGTCAGATATATACACTCTCATTCATTTGTCATGAAACTTTTAACTGTCAGATATATACACTCTCATTCATTCTTCATGAAACTTTTAACTGTCAGATATATATACTCTGATTCATTCATCATTAAACTTTTAACTGTCAGATATATACACTCTCATTCATTCTTCATGAATCTTTTTACTGTCAGATATATATACTCTCATTCATTCTTCATGAAACTTTTAACTATCAGATATATACACTCTCAAACTTTTGCAAAAATCCAATGTTATTGTCTTTTTAATCAGCCTTTTTGAAAAGTTTATCAAATAGGATCAAATCTTACAAGTTTGTAACTAAATTTTTAGAATTTTTGGTTGAACTGAAAGATTATTAGTATCAAATAATGAAGCTACTTATTTTAATAAACAACAGTTGGTAATTTAATTATGTTACATTTTGGTTTTCTTTTCACAATGTTTTAAGTATTTATTGTTGGTGTATTCAATACTTACAGAACATGGAGACAAAAATTGAGGAAATGGTTCCATCATTCCGTGTTGGCTCTGTAATTTTCCTTACGGAGCAGTTGAAGATGGCTCTAGTGACTGAGACCAGAAACTGGAAGATGGGCTACGCTAAAGCTCTCAATGAGAAGTGTGGCAAAGAGATGGACTCAATGAGCGAGTTTGTGGACAATCTGATGAAGCGCCTATCCCGTCCAATCAAGGACCTTGACGATGTCCGTGGCGCCATGGCCTCTCTCAATGAGATCCGTGAAAATGAGATTCGTATAGACATGACAATCACACCCATTGAAGAAACATATGCATTGCTACACAAGTACAACATTTTCTTTAGTGATGGGAATGCTGAAAGGGTCGACTCCTTGTCGTATGGATGGAAAAAACTCAATGCACAGGTAATTACATTTTGTTGTCACTAGAGTGTGAGATGTAGTTAGATACTTTTTGGGTGTTGAAACCTACCTGAAGTATAGAACCCATTTCTATATAAATACAAAGTCAACATGATCTAAACATGGTTACAGGGGAGGTAATTATTAAGAGAGAGAAACATAGTTAAAGGGGAGATCATTTTAAAAGAGACTACTATTAACACTTCAGTGTTAGTTGATAACTAGTTTTCAAATCTTGAACTGATTAATATTCATAGGGTTACTTTTTCCCCCCTAATTGTAGTTATTAACTTCGGATAATCACTTGAGAGAAACGTAGTTGTAACATCATCAATTTCTTAAGTGATGAGTGTGCACTAACTGGAGTTTGCTTTGTATTTTTTACTATTTGGCTGTTGCGTGCTGTGACTTTTTAAAAATAACCCCATGACTTTTTAAAATATAAATAATTTCTTTTAGTTTAATTATAATATTAAATCTGTTTATAAATAAAATAAAAATTCTCTAATCCAACAATATAAAAAAAAAACTCTTCAAATAGTCTAACATTACAAATTTTCAGTCTCTCAATAATTAATTATTTTTTTTAAAAAATCAGCTGCTTCTGTATTCTTACTTGAAGGAAAATCTTTTATTAAAACATTCTTTAGAAATCACAAACAGATTTGTAGTCCCATCAATCACACAATTAAATTAACTTTGTGGAGTAATGATAGCCTACATCTTGTCCAAGATATCTTTAGTCATATTCTGTGTAAGTAGTATGTCTTCTGCATTGAAAGTATCCAATGTTTTAATAGGTTCTAATAATTGGGACCCAGAAAATAAGGTAACAAACAGGAGAGGTTAATCCAGTTTAATCTTAGATAATAATTGCTTGTGTAGTTAAAATTTTAGACTGCTCTAGAGTTTTAGACCTTTGTCTTGCTACTTTGAAATAAATTATTCTCTTGTTTCTAGTCTACTCTTTTGAAAATACATATTTTCCTTTTCATAATTATCAAAATTAAGTAATTTAACAAATTAGATTTTCTACTTAATAATTATGTAAACAGTTATTTATTAATTAAAAGTGTACAATTTGTATTGCTAGAACATCAGCATCAAAGGACCTTTATTGTAATGCTAGAGTAGCTACAAAATATTCCATGACAAAAATGTTAATCTAGTATCTGCTTTTGATTTAAATTATTTTCTTAAATTTTCAGCCTGCTGCAATCTGTTCCAGTAAATTTCTTTTCAGGTTACTTTAAAATAAATCATTGGATTTTCCCTTTTCATGTTCAGAGTTATCTTTCTTAACAGCACCTACCTTAATTATAATGTTGGTGTTTCATTAAAATTCTACTATTTGTTTTGTGTTTGAATACCGTAATTTGGAATTCTATTTTGTGCTGTATAAATAACTCATATAAGACAATTTAATACTATAATTAATTTAAAATCAACTATTTAAAATCCTCATACCAAAAGTCTTTTCTTATTTCCCCCATCCCCATATTATCATTATTGACTCCTATTAAAATTCACATGCTTATATAGTAGATATATTTCTATTTAGAAAATTCCTTTTAATTTTTATCTTTATTTATTAAATTATAAAATGATTCATTTTAGTGTTTATTCAAATTATGCACCTATATTTTCTATCATCGAAAATGCTTTTACAATTTAAATTTAAAATATTTTTTTTTATATGAATGTATTACTAATTTCACTTACCAATTGAGTAAAGCAATGATGCTTATTAAAATGTCAACAAAATAAATCACTTATTTGTTAGTATGAACACACCATAATATAATAGGAAAACTACTTGCCTTTTGTAAGAAATAGCAATCACATTTGTAATTTAATTTTTTTACTGAATTTTAAAATATTATTTTAATCTTAAACTTTATAACATAGCTAAGAATTTAATATTTGAGAGGGACCTGAATATAGAAAAACTTAATTTACTTAAAACCAAATGAGTTTGTGTAATCCAAAGTTTTGAGAAAATATGTAAAGACTTGTGTCACTTTTTCAGGCTACACACATCCAAGAACACCTGCTACAAATACAACCCACATTCAAGGCTGACCTCTTGGCTGGGGTTGAAAACTTTGTTCAAATTAATAATGAATTTGTCTCTTCATATGACAAAGCGTAAGTTTAAAAAAAACCCAACTATCTATTGAATTATGTAGTCATGAGTAAAAAGCAAGCAGGTAAAAAAGAAAAAAGTGCAGTGGTTCATTACATCTTTTTTATATCTTTAAAAAAAAATATATGTATATAAGAAATATATTTGTATATTTGTACACTTTATATGATAAACTCATACAGAAACATACACTTGTGTGAATACATTATATATATATATATATATATATATATATATATATATATATATATATATATATATATATATATATATATATATATATATATATATATATATATATATATATATATATATATATATATATATATATATATATATATATATAATGTTTCCTTTTCAGTGGGCCCATGGTAGATGGCATAGCCCCACGAGAAGCATCTGATCGCCTGAACATCTACCAGGCCAGGTTTGATGAGCTGTGGCGCAAGTATGTGACCTACTCCGGAGGTGAGGAGCTCTTCGGCCTGACTGTGACAGAGTACCCTGACCTGATGAGGATTAAAAAAGAGCTGAACCTGCTGCAGAAGTTGTACCAGCTCTACAACACTGTGCTGGAGAATGTCAATGGCTACTATGATATTCTTTGGTCTGAAATCAATATTGAGAAAATTAACTCTGAACTTCTTGATTTCCAGAACAGGTGAGTTACACAAACATAATACTAGATAAGCCAAATTTAAACTCCATTCATAAAACTTTGGAATACTTGCTCATTAATATGTGTAATATGTTATTTTAACATTAAAAACAATTATTTAAAAAATTATTTTAGATGCCGAAAACTTCCAAAAGCACTCAAAGAATGGCAAGCTTATGAAGACCTCAGGAGAACAATTGATGACTTTAATGAAACTTGTCCAATTCTGGAGATGATGGCCAACAAGGCCATGCAGCAGCGCCACTGGGAGAGAATAGCCCAGATCACAGGCCACACATTTGATGTGGAGTCTGACAGTTTCCTGCTCAGAAATTTGATGGAAGCTCCACTGCTCAAGTTCAAAGAAGACATTGAAGTAAAAAACATAGCTAAATATTTTAAAGATACTCTAAAAAGCTATGTAAAAAACTACTACTAAAATAAATTGTGGTGTATCACATACATAAACTACTTAGTTAAGTGATAAAATACTACTGAAAGTAATTCTAATAATTTATTTTGGAAAAAAATAATTCATTAGTGTCAATTAAAATTGTATATATTTTTATTATTATTTTTCCATTTTCTTAGGATGTTTGCATATCTGCTGTTAAAGAAAAAGACATTGAAGCTAAACTCAAACAAGTCATCAATGATTGGAGTGCACAATCATTCCAGTTTGGCAGTTTTAAATCAAGAGGAGAACTTCTACTCAAGGGTAAACTACTCTGTTACACTAAAAAAAAAACAACGGATCAATCTTGTTTTATTTATAACTTGCTCTGTTTATAATTTTGTTTTAACTTATAAAAAGTTGTATGTACTTTCTGAACTATGTCATTGTATTCAACTCAACATCAAAATAAAGTTTGAAATATCCACAAAACTCTTTCTAAATTCTAAATAAATTACCTTCTTGTACAGGAGATTCCACAACAGAAATTGTGGCACTGATGGAGGACAGCTTGATGGTACTGGGTGCTTTACTTAGCAACAGGTCAGTTTAAAAAAAATATTATTACAAGTCATGGAGTGTAAAAAAAATCTTCTTACAACTAAACTCTGATGAAATCTGTGATTTTGTATGCAAACTTTGTTTATCAACATGTAGGTACAATGCTCCATTCAAGCCCAAAATCCAGGAGTGGGTTCAGAAACTGACTGGAACTACAGAGATCATTGAAAACTGGCTGATTGTACAAAACTTGTGGATTTACTTGGAGGCTGTCTTTGTTGGAGGTGACATTGCCAAACAGCTACCACAGGTTTGCATCAGGCTTTTCTTTTAGTATCTAGAAAATACTAACTTTAAAAAAAGCCAAAATAGTCATCATAATGTAACAAAACTTAACTTCACAATTCTAACTTGCCGTGACCAAATCTACTAGTTACATTATTTTAGAAAAGAATAATTAAAACAGTTATCTATTCAACATAAAAAATACATTAGTGTATAATACATATGAATTATAATTTTCTCAATCATAAGGCAACTTGGTATTTTAATACATGTTTTCACTGTACAATAAATACTTGACTAGCTGGCAACTGGCAAGAAAATATTTTTGACAAAAAAACAACGATGAATAGGAATCATACAAACCAGTATGTTGTGTGTATTGAAGTTTAAGAAAATACACAAGTTATTACAAACATAAATGAATTAAGTAAACAAAACAACATGTCATAACATTAAGTGATTGTATTTCTTTACTTAAGCCATGGTTTAAGGTAAGCTTTAAACAGATGTTTTTATGTTAAGATATTCAACTATCACCAGGGCTGCTGAAAAAAAATGGTGTGAAATGTGTTTAAAATCACAGTCACATTTTAATGAGTTTTATCACCAATGTTTTAAATCACATGCCTGCATTGTCAATTATTTTATTATTTTTCAAATTCTATTTGTTTAAAAGATACATTTTTATTATTGCTCATATTTTTGTAAGCATCATCACACAAAAGATCACAGTTCTTTGTAACTACCTACATACAAGTGTTATTTAAATACATATATTGCTGTTATTTAAACAGAAATAAATAGAATTTTTTCTTTTACTTTGCTATGTATCAACTTATTTTTTAATATTCCAAGTAATTAGCTGTATACAAATGTTTAATAGCCTGTTTAAGTCTTACACACCTATTATGAAATTCTGTCTTGTTTTTTAAAAAAAACTATGTATTAATATTTACTTATTACTTTTTAAAAATTTATTTTAAAATATGTAAAATAATAACAGAGTTTTAAGTAAAGACCTTTGTTAAAATTGTTGTACTGCTACTTGAACTGTTCTAAAATTTGAGAATCACTGATACCTTAACCAGGAAGCCAAGAGATTCAGCAACATCGACAAATCCTGGCAGAAGATCATGCAGAGAGCCCATGAGAACTCCAACGTTGTGGGGTGCTGTGTGGGGGACGACACCCTGAGCCAGCTGCTGCCCCACCTCCTGGAACAGCTGGAGATCTGCCAGAAGTCCCTCACTGGCTACCTGGAGAAGAAGAGGCTGCTCTTCCCCAGGTTCTTCTTTGTGTCTGACCCTGCCCTGTTGGAGATTCTGGGTCAGGCCAGTGATTCTCACACTATTCAGGTAGAGAATGACTTTGATGGTTTTAATTGGTTCATAATGAATACGCATAAAATATATAAGCTTAATAATATAAAATCTACTAAAAACATGATATTATTGACAAAATTTCAAGACCAAAAGCAACATATAATAAAAAAAAATACTTAATCTATGAACTAAAAAGTAACTTAAAAAATGTAGAAAAATACATTTATTATTGCAATCAATACAATTTTTCTCACATCAATAATTCTGTTCATTTCTTTTTGAAATCAATGGTCAAGTTTTAAAAAGTAAGAAATATGCTTTTTTTTTATTTTATTTAAATGACTGAATTGATTTCTTAGAACCACCTGTTGAGTGTTTTTGACAACACAAGACTTGTCACATTTGATGAAAAAGTTTATGACAAAATTCTGGCCATCAATTCTCAAGAGGGTGAAAAAATTGATTTGGATGAAGCTGTACTGGCACAAGTAAGGTCTTCTTTTGAAAGTAAACAAAACAGAAAATACCTTTGTTTCATGTGTATACAGGGCCTAACTAAAAGTCAATTATTTATAAAAAAAACCTGACTGTTTTGTTTTACTCTGTATTGTAGGGCAATGTTGAGCAGTGGCTGGGAGATTTGCTAAGAGTGGGTCGTCGCTCATTACATGGCATCATCAAGATGGCAGCTATAACAATCCAGGACCAAGGTTTCAACCTTCTAGAATTTGAAAACACTTTCCCATCTCAGGTTGGGTTTTATATCAGTCTGTTGAGTTATGTTGTTTTTTTCAGTCAGTATCTCTACCATTATACTGTTTTCTGTTTTTTGTTGGCTGATAATTTTGTACATAGATTCTGTGTTAATTCAGGGACTTATAGTAAGTTATGATTTATAATTAAATGAACTTTTAGTAAAATATTGGTGATAATGACAATGTATGATGTCTAAAACTGCAACTTTCAATATAATTTCTAAGTAAAAGTGTTAGACTGATTATGAAACCATGATTTTTATGAAGAATCTTGTAATGTACCTTGAGCCTACCTAGCCGTAAAAGTACCCAAAAATATTTGTTGAGAAATAAAAATTGTAATGCAAAGTAAACTCTACATGCAGACTAGACAGTAGATGGGGCAGGGGAAGTAGGGTTCCTCTGTTTCTCTGACCTTAGCCTTTAAAGGGATCGTGTGGTCAGCTCTTTACTTCCATTCACCTGAGTCAGGTACCCATTATTGCTGGGTAAACTCAAGTTTGTGAACCAAACTCTAGGCTATCAGTTTAGCAATTGATTGCTTACCACTTGACCATGATATTCTCAATTTTTACTTAAGATTTAAAAAAAAAATTGTTATGGTTACCTAAACTGTATACAAAATGTTTGAATGTGAAGGTCGGTCTCCTGGGCATCCAAATGATCTGGACCAGAGACTCTGAAGATGCCCATAGTATGGTTACCTAAACTGTATACAAAATGTTTGTATGTGAAGGTTGGTCTGCTGGGTATCCAAATGATCTGGACCAGAGACTCTGAAGATGCCCATAGTATGGTTACCTAAACTGTATACAAAATGTTTGCATGTGAAGGTTGGTCTCCTGGGCATCCAAATGATCTGGACCAGAGACTCTGAAGATGCCCATAGTATGGTTACCTAAACTGTATACAAAATGTTTGCATGTGAAGGTTGGTCTCCTGGGTATCCAAATGATCTGGACCAGAGACTCTGAAGATGACCATAGTATGGTTACCTAAACTGTATACAAAATGTTTGCATGTGAAGGTTGGTCTCCTGGGCATCCAAATGATCTGGACCAGAGACTCTGAAGATGCCCATAGTATGGTTACCTAAACTGTATACAAAATGTTTGCATGTGAAGGTTGGTCTCCTGGGCATCCAAATGATCTGGACCAGAGACTCTGAAGATGCCCATAGTATGGTTACCTAAACTGTATACAAAATGTTTGCATGTGAAGGTCGGTCTCCTGGGCATCCAAATGATCTGGACCAGAGACTCTGAAGATGCCCATAGTATGGTTACCTAAACTGTATACAAAATGTTTGTATGTGAAGGTCGGTCTCCTGGGCATCCAAATGATCTGGACCAGAGACTCTGAAGATGCCCATAGTATGGTTACCTAAACTGTATACAAAATGTTTGTATGTGAAGGTCGGTCTCCTGGGCATCCAAATGATCTGGACCAGAGACTCTGAAGATGCCCATAGTATGGTTACCTAAACTGTATACAAAATGTTTGAATGTGAAGGTTGGTCTCCTGGGTATCCAAATGATCTGGACCAGAGACTCTGAAGATGCCCATAGTATGGTTACCTAAACTGTGTACAAAATGTTTGTATGTGAAGGTTGGTCTCCTGGGCATCCAAATGATCTGGACCAGAGACTCTGAAGATGCCCATAGTATGGTTACCTAAATTGTGTACAAAATGTTTGCATGTGAAGGTTGGTCTCCTGGGCATCCAAATGATCTGGACCAGAGACTCTGAAGATGCCCATAGTATGGTTACCTAAATTGTATACAAAATGTTTGAATGTGAAGGTTGGTCTCCTGGGCATCCAAATGATCTGGACCAGAGACTCTGAGGATGCCCATAGTATGGTTACCTAAATTGTATACAAAATGTTTGAATGTGAAGGTTGGTCTCCTGGGCATCCAAATGATCTGGACCAGAGACTCTGAGGATGCCCATAGTATGGTTACCTAAACTGTATACAAAATGTTTGAATGTGAAGGTTGGTCTCCTGGGTATCCAAATGATCTGGACCAGAGACTCTGAAGATGCCCATAGTATGGTTACCTAAACTGTATACAAAATGTTTGTATGTGAAGGTCGGTCTCCTGGGCATCCAAATGATCTGGACCAGAGACTCTGAAGATGCCCATAGTATGGTTACCTAAACTGTATACAAAATGTTTGTATGTGAAGGTCGGTCTCCTGGGCATCCAAATGATCTGGACCAGAGACTCTGAGGATGCCCATAGTATGGTTACCTAAACTGTATACAAAATGTTTGGATGCGAAGGTTGGTCTCCTGGGCATCCAAATGATCTGGACCAGAGACTCTGAAGATGCCCATAGTATGGTTACCTAAACTGTATACAAAATGTTTGTATGTGAAGGTCGGTCTCCTGGGCATCCAAATGATCTGGACCAGAGACTCTGAAGATGCCCATAGTATGGTTACCTAAACTGTATACAAAATGTTTGAATGTGAAGGTTGGTCTCCTGGGTATCCAAATGATCTGGACCAGAGACTCTGAAGATGCCCATAGTATGGTTACCTAAACTGTATACAAAATGTTTGAATGTGAAGGTTGGTCTCCTGGGTATCCAAATGATCTGGACCAGAGACTCTGAAGATGCCCATAGTATGGTTACCTAAACTGTATACAAAATGTTTGAATGTGAAGGTTGGTCTCCTGGGTATCCAAATGATCTGGACCAGAGACTCTGAAGATGCCCATAGTATGGTTACCTAAACTGTATACAAAATGTTTGAATGTGAAGGTTGGTCTCCTGGGTATCCAAATGATCTGGACCAGAGACTCTGAAGATGCCCATAGTATGGTTACCTAAATTGTATACAAAATGTTTGAATGTGAAGGTTGGTCTCCTGGGCATCCAAATGATCTGGACCAGAGACTCTGAAGATGCCCATAGTATGGTTACCTAAACTGTATACAAAATGTTTGAATGTGAAGGTTGGTCTCCTGGGCATCCAAATGATCTGGACCAGAGACTCTGAAGATGCCCATAGTATGGTTACCTAAATTGTATACAAAATGTTTGAATGTGAAGGTTGGTCTCCTGGGCATCCAAATGATCTGGACCAGAGACTCTGAAGATGCCCATAGTATGGTTACCTAAACTGTATACAAAATGTTTGAATGTGAAGGTTGGTCTCCTGGGCATCCAAATGATCTGGACCAGAGACTCTGAAGATGCCCATAGTATGGTTACCTAAATTGTATACAAAATGTTTGAATGTGAAGGTTGGTCTCCTGGGCATCCAAATGATCTGGACCAGAGACTCTGAAGACGCCCTGAACAATGCCAGAACAGACAAGAAGGTCATGGCCAACACCAACCAGAAGTTCCTGGACATGCTGAACCTGCTCATTGACCAGACGACCAAAGACCTGACAAAGATGGAGAGAACCAAGTACGAGACCCTCATCACCATCCACGTCCACCAGAAGGACATCTTCGATGACTTGGTCAGTTTGTTTTTTAAATTTAACTCACTTTCACCATGGCATGATTAGGTTATAATTAAATTTATTGCAACAAATGGCCAGTTTTATAGGGTTAATTTTAGACAATATCTAAAATAATTTTGTTATTTACTCAAATACATTATCATAAATTAAGTGGGAGGTGGGGAAAAAATAAATCTAGTAGATTCTATTTTTAGATCTTGGGCACACAGAGGTCAACTAATTCTGTAAGGGAGTGAACTATGTTTATTCAAGTCTTTTTTTTTCTTATTTCCCTTTAGGTCCGCCTACACATCAAGTCTATGAATGACTTTGAATGGCTGAAACAGTCCAGGTTTTACTACAAGGAAGACATTGACACCTGCATCATCTCCATCACTGATGTCGACTTTACTTACATGATGGAGTTCCTTGGTTGCACTGATAGGCTGGTCATCACACCTTTAACTGACAGGTGAGTCATCACATCCCTAACTGACAGGTGAGTCATCACACCCCTAACTGACAGGTGAGTGAGTCATCACACCCCTAACTGACAGGTGAGTCATCACACCCCTAACTGACAGGTGAGTCATCACACCCCTAACTGACAGGTGAGTGAGTCATCACACCCCTAACTGACAGGTGAGTCATCACACCCCTAACTGACAGGTGAGTCATCACACCCCTAACTGACAGGTGAGTCATCACACCTTTAACTGACAGGTGAGTCATCACACCCCTAACTGACAGGTGAGTCATCACACCCCTAACTGACAGGTGAGTCATCACACCCCTAACTGACAGGTGAGTTGACAGGTGCTAGTCACCTTCCCTTCACTGATATGAGAGTTGATGAGAGGTGTTAATTATCACATCTAAAGAACACAATTGAATTTCTTACTTTAAAAAAAAATACCCACCAATTCAACATGTCCAATATTTCTTCAGATGCTACATCACACTAGCCCAGGCTTTGGGTATGGCCTTGGGAGGGGCCCCCGCTGGTCCTGCTGGAACTGGGAAAACAGAAACAACCAAAGACATGGGACGCTGCCTGGGCAAGTACGTTGTGGTCTTCAACTGTTCTGACCAGATGGACTACAGAGGACTTGGCAGGATTTACAAAGGTCATACAAATGTATATTTATAGATTTCTTAAGCTTATCACAATACTAAAATAAACATAATGGTCACATGAGAGTTAAAAATAGAAATTAAAATTTTATTTTTTCTTTCCCAGGTTTGGCCCAGTCTGGGTCATGGGGTTGTTTTGATGAATTTAACCGCATTGAGCTGCCAGTGCTTTCAGTAGCCGCACAGCAGATTGCTATAGTTCTTCAGGCAAAGAAGGAAAGAAAAACTGCATTTATCTTCACTGATGGCGACAATGTGGACCTAGATCCTGAATTTGGCCTCTTCTTGACCATGGTAAAAAAAAATAACATTTGTGGTGTATTTTACTGAATGCAATATAATGTTAAAAATAAAAGATTTTGTAAGGATTTGCCATAAGAGCCACTTGTTATCTAAATAATATTTTAATTTTCTCTACAGAATCCTGGTTATGCTGGTCGCCAAGAGCTGCCAGAGAATCTGAAAATCAACTTCAGGACGGTGGCCATGATGGTTCCTGACCGTGCCATCATCATCCGTGTCAAACTGGCCAGTTGTGGTTTCCTGCAAAACATTGTGTTGGCCAAAAAGTTTTTCACTCTGTACAAACTTTGTGAGGAGCAGTTGTCCAAACAGGCAAGTCAGACCTGTGTTCATGACATTACACAACATCATTTTCTTCTTATTTTTGTAATTGTTTTTGCTCCTCTGTAAGGCTGACACTATTTTTCTTCCAACAAGCATAATTTGCAGATTTTTTCTATATCCCACACATTATTATTTCTTTATTCCACATTTTTAGTGCTATGTTACTGCTATGTCGTTACCATGCAATTGCTGTTGTTGAATTGTTATTTTATTTGTTTATTTTAAAACGGCCAATGTGAAAAAAGGCCTTCATGCCTACTATTGTTACCGTAATTGAATAAATTGAAAATAAATTGAATAAATTGAACACTCATTTAAGCATCCCAAATATTTTTTCAACTTATCATCTCCAATTTGTCAGATGAATATATTATCTCCATTAATTTGTTAAATTTTATATCTAAATTTTTGATCTAGTTTTTATTTTGTGATTTTTTTTTCTCCTCCACCCCAGGTCCACTATGACTTTGGCCTGCGTAACATCCTGTCTGTGCTGAGAACTCTGGGAGCATTTAAACGAGCCAACCCAGAGGACGGGGAGCCCATGATTGTGATGCGTGTGCTGCGAGACATGAACCTGTCCAAGCTGGTTGATGAAGACGAGCCCCTGTTCATGTCACTGATTGAGGACCTCTTCCCTGGCATGACCCTTGACAAGGCTGGGTACCCAGAGATGGAGGCAGCCATTGAGAGAAAGGTAAATTCTAGCAGAATTTTTTTTGTTAACTGTCACATAAAGCTTTTACTGATGGTTTTAATGCATTTATTGTTTGATGAATCTATTCATGATATTCATCCTTTAAAGTCAAGAATATGGAAAAAAAAATTATTTAACATTACAAAATTCTCAAATATTAAAAAATAAAAAATTGAATAAGAGTCAAAACAAAAAATCAATAATCATCTGACCTGGAATGATGTAAAAAGGCTTAACTATTTCACAATTTACAAAATAAAAGTTTTATTAAAATTATTAATATCACGTTTGTTTAAATCATTGATCAATAAAAACGAAAGAATACATTTTGTCTTTTTGAATCTTTGGCATACCTTTGGAAAAAATACTTTGCTATAACATGAGTTATTTTAGGACTAATGTTTGATATTTTCATTTAAGACAGCATATAAAAGAATGAGGTATTTCAATAACAAAGCATTGTTAATTTTTCAGGTAACTGATGCTGGACTGATCAACCATGCACCCTGGATCCTGAAGCTGATCCAGTTGTATGAAACACAGAGAGTCAGGCACGGCATGATGACCCTTGGCCCCAGTGGTGCTGGGAAGACTTGCTGCATCCACACCCTGATGAAGGCCATGACCGACTGTGGCACCCCACACAAGGAGATGAGGATGAACCCCAAGGCCATCACGGCCCCTCAGATGTTTGGCCGTCTTGATGTGGCCACTAATGACTGGACGGATGGAATTTTCTCAACACTCTGGAGGCGAACTCACAAAACAAAGAAGGTTCGGACATTTTGAATTATTTAAAAAAAAATACAGCTATTGCCACCAGTAACATTTTAATCAAGGCTTATAAACTTCAATTATTCTACTGTATCAGTTAGAATTTGTTGATGTTAATTGTTATGATAATTAAAAAATTAATAACCGTAGCATGTTATTTTAGTTTGTCAATAAAGCATTCTCAAAATGGTATGATTAAAGTTGGACCATAATTCCATGTTCTTGATTAGTCATTTATTTTTTACTTAGGGTGAGCATGTCTGGCTAGTCTTGGATGGACCAGTCGATGCCATTTGGATTGAAAATCTAAATTCAGTCCTTGATGACAACAAAACCTTGACCTTGGCCAATGGTGACAGGATCCCCATGGCACCAAACTGCAAGATCATCTTCGAGGTGCACAACATTGACAACGCATCACCAGCAACTGTGTCCCGCAATGGCATGGTCTTTATGTCCAGTTCCATTCTTGACTGGGAACCCATCCTCAAAGGTGTTTATAGAAATTGTCTTTATTTTTAATAGATCACAAAATAAAAAATAAAAAAAATTAATTTTTTGAACAGACGAATGAAATTTAATAAATATAATATTAATGTTTTAGAAAATATCTATTGTTTTTAGAAGGTACAAGGCTTTAATGAACGATTATTTAATGAACAAATAACAGTTTGAGTTTCTATTTTTAGGTTGGTTGTTGAAGAGGCCACCCCAGCAACAGGACTGTGTGTTCAATGCATTCCAGTCTGTCTTCCCTAGACTTTACAGCTACATCACACAAAGTCTGGAGCCCAAAATGGAGGTATGATTTTTTTTTTCAAAGTTTTTTCAAAATAATGTATGGCTAAAGAAATTATTAGTGTTATTGTGTATCTAGAGACAATAAAATTAAGGATAAGTTACAGACAATTGAAATGTTTTTTTTTTAAATCAGGTTTTGGAGTGCAACTACATCCGCCAGGCCATTGACCTCTTGGATGGGCTGATGCCAGGGGGAGAGGAGCCTAAAGACATCAACAGTGACCACATAAGGAAACTGATTGTCTTTGCTCTCATGTTCTCTCTTGGATCCTTGCTTGAGCTTGAAGACAGGAAAAAGGTTAGAAATAATTTCATAATCTGCCGGTTTCATGTTTGGGTGAACTATGTGACAATTTAAGTTTTTATTTAGCTTTTTGTAAACTCACTAAAATTTTTTCTTCTTCCAGGTACAAGATTGGCTGCAGGAGAACAGTGATCTCCCCTTGCCCAAACTGTCCAATGATGACACCATCTATGAATATGTTGTAGGGGATACAGGCCAATGGGAGCACTGGAAGACAAGGGTCAGTTATCTTTTGTTTTCTGTCATGTCCATCATAATTTAATTAGTGCTGATTGAAGATTCAGATACTGTTTGTTTGTAACAATGATGCACCTCTTTAAAACCAGATAATTTTAAGTTTTGAGGATCAGCACATTAGTAATATATTTGTATTGATACACATTTTCCGCCTCACATAATTTTCATTTTATCTGACAATAATAATTAAAAAAGGTTGTTAAAATCAATATAAATTGAAAAAAAATCAACTTTGTTTTAGAAAATTATGTAATAAATGTTTCAATATTAAATACAGTATATTATTCAGTTGCAGCAAATGCCTAATTACAAAACTAAAAGAAAATAATTAACTCCACAGGTTCCAGAGTATGAGTACCCCACAGACTCAACACCTGAATACACCTCCATCTTGGTTCCCAATGTGGACAACATCAGGACTGATTTCCTCATTAAAACAATTGCAAAACAAGGAAAAGCTGTGCTTCTTATTGGTGAACAGGTACCTTATCTTAGTACACAATCTGTAGCTGGTTTATAGATTCATTTGTAAACTATTAACTAAAAATATTTCTGGTTGAATAAAAATTCTAGGTTCCATAAAAAGATGCATATTTTGGTAAATTAAAAATATGCCACTCATTAAACGAAACAAATGATTGTTTGTAGGGAACAGCCAAAACAGTGATGGTGCAGGGTTACTGTAACAAGTTTGATCCAGAGGCTCACATCTTCAAGAGCTTCAACTTCTCAAGTGCCACCACACCCATGATGTTCCAGGTAAAATTAGCCAAATAATCTTTTTTACATTATGTCATAATGTTTGTGATTTATTATCACAATTTTCTTACAGACCTGACTTATTTACTTGGATAATCTTTTACATCATGTCATAAATGTTTGTTTTTCATTATCACAACTTGCTTACTTTAATGTTTTTTCTATGAGTTTTCATCTTTCAGAGTATTGCCAATAAAAACTTTTTTTTTGTAGTTTTAACTTTAAACATATCTAATAGTGCATCTTTAAAGTAACCAGCATTTAATTTATCCATGTATATTTCTTTTTTTCATTACAGCGCACAATTGAGAGCTTTGTTGACAAAAGGATGGGTACAACCTACGGCCCCCCTGCTGGCAAGAAAATGACTGTGTTTGTTGATGACATCAATATGCCCATTATTAATGAATGGGGTGACCAGGTTAGACTATATGATTACAGAACAGTATATTTTTTAATATGAAATTATTCCCACTGTTTCTTACTTTTTTCTATTCAATTACCAAATTTTTTTAAATTAGCTGAGTAATGTCTTGAAGATTTGTTTAAGTTTTAAAAACCTAGTCCAACTATAGAAACAACTTGAATTACAGTTGACCAATAAAAAAGTAGTTCCACCACTAAAACATCTTAACTTACAGGTAACCAATACAAAAACTAGCCCCACCACTAAAACACCTTTATTTACAGTTGACCAATAAAAAAGTAGTCCCACCACTAAAACACCTTAACTTACAGGTAACTAATACAAAAACTAGTCCCACCACTAAAACACTTTAATTTACAGGCAACTAATACAAAAAGTAGTCCCACCACTAAAACACTTTAATTTACAGGTAACTAATACAAAAAGTAGTCCCACCACTAAAACACCTTAACTTACAGGTAACAAAAACTAGTCCCACCACTAAAACACTTTAACTTACAGGTAACAAAAACTAGTCCCACCACTAAAACACTTTAACTTACAGGTAACAAAAACTAGTCCCACCACTAAAACACTTTAACTTACAGGTAACAAAAACTAGTCCCACCACTAAAACACTTTAACTTACAGGTAACAAAAACTAGTCCCACCACTAAAACCTTAACTTACAGGTAACCAAAACAAAAACTAGTCCCACCACTAAAACACCTTAACTTACAGGTAACTAATACAAAAAGTAGTCCCACCACTAAAACACCTTAACTTACAGGTAACTAATACAAAAAGTAGTCCCACCACTAAAACACCTTAACTTACAGGTAACAAAAACTAGTCCCACCACTAAAACACTTTAACTTACAGGTAACAAAAACTAGTCCCACCACTAAAACACTTTAATTTACAGGTAACTAATACAAAAAGTAGTCCCACCACTAAAACACCTTAACTTACAGGTAACAAAAACTAGTCCCACCACTAAAACACCTTAACTTACAGGTAACAAAAACTAGTCCCACCACTAAAACACCTTAACTTACAGGTAACAAAAACTAGTCCACTAAAACACCTAAACTTACAGGTAACCAATACAAAAACTAGTCCCACCACTAAAACACCTTAACTTACAGGTAACAAAAACTAGTCCCACCACTAAAACACTTTAACTTACAGGTAACAAAAACTAGTCCCACCACTAAAACACTTTAATTTATAGGTAACTAATACAAAAAGTAGTCCCACCACTAAAACACCTTAACTTACAGGTAACAAAAACTAGTCCCACCACTAAAACACCTTAACTTACAGGTAACAAAAACTAGTCCCACCACTAAAACACCTTAACTTACAAACTTACAGGTAACAAAAACTAGTCCCACCACTAAAACACCTTAACTTACAGGTAACAAAAACTAGTCCACTAAAACACCTAAACTTACAGGTAACCAATACAAAAACTAGTCCCACCACTAAAACACCTTAACTTACAGGTAACCAATGAGATCACGAGGCAGATGATGGAGTACAAAGGTTTTTACAACCTAGAGAAACCTGGTGAGTACACAAACCTGGTTGACGTGCAGATGATTGCTGCCATGATCCACCCCGGGGGTGGCCGCAATGACATCCCCCAGAGGCTCAAGAGGGCGTTCAACATTTTCAACTGCACCCTGCCCTCCAATGCTTCTATTGACAAGATCTTCAATACTGTTGGCCTTGGACATTTTGTGAAGGTAAATTTTCTATAAAATAAATCAACGTTTTTATATTGTGAAATTTGTTTTTGTGTTATATAAGCTAACAATTTTATCAGGATACACATTTTGGTAATAATGTTTTTATATTTCTTTTCATGTATTTACTAATACTTGATTTAATATTTGTTCTGATATTTCACTGATTTGTTATAAAATTTGTAAACTTTTTGAAATTTAATGTGTTGATACATGAGTTATGCTGTTTTATTTTAGGAGAGGGGCTTCCCTGATGAGGTGCATGAGCTTGTGAAAATGTTGGTCCCTGCTACAAGAAGCCTCTGGCAGAAGGTCAAAGTAAAAATGTTACCCACACCAGCCAAGTTTCATTATGTCTTCAACTTAAGAGATCTTTCTAGAATCTGGCAGGTAAGCTATTTTTTTTATCATTCATTAAATTGTTTATTTTGTTGCATTTTTATGTTTTTGTTTTATAAAAAAAAAATAATCAAGCTTCACATTAGTTGTATCCTTAAAATTGTGTTTTTGTTTATTTAAAGTTCAACAGATTCTTTGAGATTCAACTTGTTTTTTTTTATCAGGGCATGTTGAAAACCATTGGCTCAGTTGTGACCACTACAGGAGTTCTGATGTCCCTGTGGAAACATGAAGCTACCAGAGTCATAGCAGACAGGTTCACAGAGCAGGCAGACAAAGACTGGTTTGAGAAAACAATCAAGCAGGTCAGTCTAGTTAACTGTTTAAACAATCAATCAGGCAGGTCAGCCTAGTTAACTGTTTAAACAATCAATCAGGCAGGTCAGTCTGGTTAACTGTTTGAGAAATCAATTAGGCAGGTCAGTCTAGTTAACTGTTTGAGAAATCAATTAGGCAGGTCAGTCTAGTTAACTGTTTGAGAAATCAATCAAGCAGGTCAGTCTAGTTAACTGTTTGAGAAATCAATTAAGCAGGTCAGTCTAGTTAACTGTTTTAGAAATCAATCAAGCAGGTCAGTCTAATTAACTGTTTGAGAAATCAATTAAGCAGGTCAGTCTAGTTAACTGTTTTAGAAATCAATCAAGCAGGTCAGTCTAATTAACTGTTTGAGAAATCAATCAAGCAGGTTAGTCTAGTTAACTGTTTGAGAAATCAATTAAGCAGGTCAGTCTAGTTAACTGTTTTATAAATCAATCAAGCAGGTCAGTCTAATTAACTGTTTGAGAAATCAATCAAGCAGGTTAGTCTAGTTAACTGTTTGAGAAATCAATCAAGCAGGTCAGTCTAGTTAACTGTTTGAGAAATCAATCAAGCAGGTCAGTCTAGTTAACTGTTTGAGAAATCAATTAAGCAGGTACACATAGTAAGCTGTTTTAATTTAGGCAAATTACCTTCTTGTAAGATAGGAAATAATATTTGCATAGTAAGCATGGGCTCTTTTTTTTGCGAGTAAATTAAATATTATGAAATGGAAACTGATGTTGTCTCAATTAGTTTGGGTTTGTTTTATTGTAGCAAATTAAATATTTCCTGTATTAAATGATCCTAATTTCCTAGGTGGCTGATGAGGTTTGTGGGTCTGTTGTGTCCAACACAATGGATGCTGAGCCTTACTTTGTTGACTTTATGAGAGACGCCCCTGAGCCAACAGGTAAAAAATTCATTTTATTTCACAATATGTTGATTTCTTCTTACATTTTAAAGCTTTAAACATTTAAAACAGCACCTGTCAATGTAAGTACCTACTAAAAATAAGGATTAAAAAAAATTTAAACCTGCGAATGACAAATGGAAAGATATTTCACATACTCTGAGAATGACATGAGTTTTTTGTGTGTCTAAAAATCAGGTGAAGAGTCTGAAGATGCTGACCTCGAGGCCCCCAAGATTTATGAACCTGTTGCCACACTGGAAACCCTGGCAGAGAAGCTCCAGTTCTACCAGACAGGATACAATGAGAGCATCAGAGGCAGTGCTATGGACTTGGTCTTCTTTAAGGTAAGTTCATGTCAAAAAATCTGGGGAATGGACACACAATTCATGTCAGTACACATAATCGACACAATTAATGTCAGTGCATGTAGTGGTTAAACAGTTAATGCTAGCACATTAAGGTGACACAATTAATTTCAGCATATGTAATGGTTACACTGTTATTGTCAGCACTTGTATTGATTACATAATTAATGTCAACCTATAAAAAATATATAATAAATACAGTATTTGTAAAATATAAGCCCTGATATTGAATGCAAATATTCGTTGTTAAATGTGTCTGTAAAATCATGTGAAGTAAACAAGTCATTGCCCTGGTTGTTTAGTTGATTTGTTACAATATGTGAAGTAAACAATTCATTGCCCTAGGATGCCATGACCAACCTTGTGAAAATCTCTCGCATCATCCGCACACCACGTGGACACGCCCTTCTAGTGGGTGTTGGAGGCTCAGGCAAGCAGAGTTTGACAAGGCTTGCCTCCTTCATTGCTGGCTACTCCACCTTCCAAATCACATTGACCAGGTACATTTAAAAAATATTATGCTCTATTTCACCTTCACTTTTAAAAAACATTTAAAACTATCAGATTTGAATAATCTCTTAGCTCTTGTGAATAGAAAAGAGTCAAAATGTTTGATCCACTGTTTAGATCCTACAACACCAGCAACTTGCTGGAAGACTTGAAGAACTTGTACCGCAGGGCCGGACAGACTGGCAAAGGTGTCACTTTCCTCTTCACAGATAACGAGATCAAAGATGAGGCTTTCCTTGAGTACATGAACAACATACTGTCCTCTGGAGAGGTAAGTCTGGTCATATCATTACCAGCCAGTGATAAAACATCATTTACTTGAAACAGTTAAATCCATGTTCAGAAGTGTTATCAGGGATGAGCAAAGTCTTGAAATAAAAAATTGTAACGATAATTGGGTGATATTTTGTTACACATTTACCCTTTATATGCCTAATGATTGGCATCAAGGATACAGTAGCTTTTTTTTCCTTATCTCTTTATCACCACTTGTTAATGCTAGTTAAAGTTGTCCTATATTACAGTTAGAACATTTGAAATTAAATAATCAAAAGCTTAACCTGTATTTGCATTGGTTTTAAATTCTCAATTTACATAAATTTTTATGAATATGTTTACTTAGACAAGCAAATACATATAATATTACACATAGGCCTGTATAGTTTGATATGTCTAAATTTATTCTGTTTGCCTATCAATGTTAACTTTTATAAATATCCACCAGGTGTCAGGCCTGTCCATATTATTTGTTCTATAAACATCCATGTTAACTGTTCTATAAACATCCACCAGGTGTCAGGCCTGTCCATGTTATTTGTTCTATAAACATCCACCAGGTGTCAGGCCTGTCCATATTATTTGTTCTATAAACATCCACCAGGTGTCAGGCCTGTCCATGTTAACTGTTTATAAATATCCATGTTAAGTGTTCTATAAACATCCACCAGGTGTCAGGCCCATGTTAACTGTTCTATAAATATCCACCAGGTGTCAGGCCTGTCCATATTATTTGTTCTATAAACATCCACCAGGTGTCAGGCCCATGTTAACTGTTCTATAAACATCCATGTTAACTGTTCTATAAACATCCACCAGGTGTCGGGCCTGTTTGTGTTAACTGTTCTATAATTACCCACCAGGTGTCAGGCCTGTTTGCCCGTGATGAGATGGACGAGATCCTGCAGGAGCTGATCGCTGTCATGAAGAAAGAACATCCTCGCAGACCACCCACCAATGAGAACCTGTATGACTACTACATGTCCAGAGTCAGGGAGAACTTGCATGTGGTCTTGTGTTTCTCACCTGTAAGTTGGACTCGTTTAGACATGTAAATTTGACAGTAAATTTTTTAACAGTCAAGTTCCCTTTCAGACCTAATGATCCCTTGGGCATGAAGTAGAATTCATCTATTTCTTTAGCTAAGGCATACGAAGATACAGCACTATGACCAAATACTGTAAGTTACGTGTGACCAAATACTGTAAGTTACGTGTGACTTGAGTCAGGTACCTGAGGACTTTGGGGCTTCATACAACATATAGCATGGAAACAACTTGAGGCTTCAGGGTCAACAATATTAAGCTCGACTACCTAAGCCCACTGTTTCAGCACTAATATTAATACTTACTTACATAAAATGAATATGAAAATCTCCAGAAAAAGAAAATATTTATTAAACAAGGTGATAGGTTTCTCAAATGTATTATGTATTCTGATAAACCTTTTATGTATTATAAACCACACACGTTTTCTTCTTATAGGTTGGAGAAAAGTTCCGCAACCGTTCCCTCAAGTTCCCTGGTCTAATCTCCGGCTGCACCATGGACTGGTTCCAGCGCTGGCCCAAAGATGCTCTAGTGGCCGTCTCTAACCACTTCCTGTCATCTTTTGACATCAGCTGTACGGCCACAGTCAAGTCTGCTGTTGTCAACACAATGGGCTTGTTCCAGGTAAGGTCACATGACCCCTTCCCTTGCCTGTCAATACAATGGGCTTGTTCCAGGTAAGGTCACGTGATCTGTCAACACAATGGGCTTGTTCCAGGTAAGGTCACATGATCTCTTCCCTTGCCTGTCAACACAATGGGCTTGTTCCAGGTAGGTCTCATGATCTGTCAACACAATGGGCTTGTTCCAGGTAAGGTCATATGATCTCTTCCCTTGCCTGTCAACACAATGGGCTTGTTCCAGGTAGGTCTCATGATCTGTCAACACAATGGGCTTGTTCCAGGTAAGGTCACATGATCTCTTCCCTTGCCTGTCAACACAATGGGTTTGTTCCAGGTAAGGTCACATGATCTCTTCCCTTCCCTGTCTATACAATTGGTTAGCTCCCTGTAAGGTCACTTGATCTGTTCTCTTCACTATTAAAACGAGCTGAAATTTAAAAAGCCTGTAGTGCTAAATTCAGTAAACGTTCTTATTTCTTAAAGAAAAGAAAACACAGAATTGATTATTAAATTTATTTAATTATAATTATATCAAATTGAATTTTAAAACATATTCCACAAATACTTTACTTTTAAATAGATTTTTGACCAAGCACCAGAAAATAATAAAATGAATAGGCTAAAATTTTAATTGAACTGTATCTTAATTATTTATTTTTTTAATTGAATTTACCTATTCTGTCTTGAACTGAATCATATTTGTAGGACATGGTGGCAGAGATGTGCGTTGAATACTTCCAAAGGTTCCGTCGTCAGACCCATGTCACTCCCAAGTCTTATCTGTCATTCATTTCTGGCTACAAAGTTATCTACAAGGAGAAGAAAGAAGAGATTGGTCTCTTGGCCCAGAGGATGAATACAGGTGCTTAGGCTAAATATTTATATTTTCTTTGAACATATTGTTGAATTTTCATTTATTTTAGTCAATCATTTAATCTTCATGATGTTTGGGTTAAAGGTCTAGAGAAGCTGATTGAAGCCACAGAGTCTGTGAATGAGCTAAGTAAAGAACTGGCTGTCAAAGAAAAAGAGCTGGCAGTGGCCTCAAAGAAAGCTGATCAGGTATTGGCTGAGGTCACAGCTAAGGCTCAAGCAGCTGAGAAGGTCAAAGCTCAGGTTCAAAAGGTCAAGGACAAGGCTCAAGCCATTGTGGACTCCATTTCTGTAAGTGTATTGACAGGTCATAATCTAGAAGTGAATTATTTTTAATCATGTATTTTCTGTTGTATAGGTTGACTTTAAACACAACAAAATCTTCAGTGTAGGTTTAGTTTATCCCAAATTTTAGCTGGAAAATAGTGGGTTGTCTTATACAACCAAATTTTTATCCTATATGCCAGAAAATTATTATTAAAAACTGAGAATAACTCTTGATAAATTCAATCAACTTAAATTAACTCACCGCCACAGGGTTAAAATGTTTATTTAAAATATAATTTTAGGCGGACAAGGCTATCGCAGAAGAAAAACTTGAAGCTGCACGTCCAGCTCTAGAGGAGGCTGAGGCTGCACTAAGTACCATCAAGCCTGCGCACATCTCCACTGTGCGTAAACTGGCCAAACCTCCACATCTCATTATGAGGATTATGGATGCTTGTTTGCTACTTTTCCAGGTACATTTTTTTTACCACCATTGAATGCACTTAGCCTACAATAATTTTAATAGTGCGTAATATTTTTTTTCTTTTAAAATAAAAAAAGCACTTTATATTAATTTAAATTGTAACTAAACACAAATCTTTGGAGAACTATAATCCAGTGAAATATTAAAAACTTTCTTCTTTAGAAAAGGCTGGATACTGTAACAATGGATCCAGAAAAAAATTGTGTGAAGCCATCTTGGGGTGAAGCTCTGAAGTTGATGAATTCTTCCAACTTCCTGGGTATGCTGCTCAACTTCCCTAAGGTCAGTAAGTTCTGCCTAAACAGCTCAGTTGTTGAATACAACATTTATTCTTTCTATAATCATACATCTACAGGATATATTTGGTGGGAGTTTTGAGTGTTGAGCTGACTGTATTATGGTTTACATCAACTTATGTTGTTCTTTATGGCACTTAAGTGGACCATGTTACCTTTAATTAGTTCATTTATTTTATGTTAACTTGGCTTTTTCCCACTGTGTCAGATTATCCATCATATATTTTGAGTATGGCTTATGTCCCCTTGTACCATCTGATGATGAATATGGCTTATGTTCCCTTGTGCCATTCTTTGTAGACTATGTCTTATGTCCCCTAGTGCCATTCTATGTTGAGTATAGCTTGTCCCCTAGTGCCCTCCTATGTTGAGTATGGCTTACGTCCCCTAGTGCCATCCTATGTTGAGTATGGCTTATGTCCCCTTGTGTCAAACTATGTTGAGCATAGCTTATGTCCCCTTGTGCCATCATATGTATACTATGGCTAATGTTCTGTTCTAGGATTCTATCAATGCTGAAACTGTGGAACTGCTGGAGCCCTACTTGACAGCAGAGGATTACAGCTTTGAGTATGCTAAGAAAGTCTGTGGTGATGTTGCTGGGCTGTGCTCATGGACATCGGCCATGTCCTTCTTCTACACCATCAACAAGGAAGTCTTGCCCATGAAGGTCAGTGTGTAGATGTACTGAATTTTGGGTGCTTATGAGAATGCAGGAAGGTCGATAGAGTATAATGGTTTTTACTGCTGTTATGAGTATTAATGTAAGGTTTAGATTTGAATTAGTATTAAAGCACAATGAGAATATTAGCCAAAAACTCAGTTTTTTGCTATGACTGATCTGTGATTATATAGTTGTTTTGTGACTAACTGTGACTATACAATTGTATCACTATTTGGTATGGTACAGCCACTAGTACATTCACATTTGTAACTCTGGATGTTGACAGGCCAATCTGATCAAACAAGAAGCTCGTCTGAATGCGGCCAACGCTGATTTGGCCCAAGCCCAGGCCCAGCTGGACGAGAAACAGAAAGAACTGGACGAGGTCCAGGCTCTGTTTGATGCAGCCATGGCAGAAAAACAGGTCAGTGCTAGAACTTGTTTGACCTCATTCTTTGGTTTGTCATTTTTACCAACAAATATTATTTTATTTTTCTTGTCACATTTTGTGTATAAATTCTTATTTTCTAAATATGAGTTATAATTACCTATGATTAATTAATAATGGCCTTGTATATGATAATTAGTTCATGGGCACTACTGATGCTACAAAGAAAGATTAAATGTTTAAAAAAATAGCTGTTCGTTTTTTTTAATACATTCTCAAAAAGAGGAAGCACTGTACTTGACATTGCAGTTTATGTTAGAAAAAACAAGAAGTCGAATAACTCCAATAAAGTAGAACGTACTTTTATATGTTGCTGATTAACACAAACATCATCCTCACCCTTAATGTTTACTAAGTCTACTTTTTTTTTAAAATGTGTAAAATTTAGAGATCTGATTTGAGCAAGAATGAATTAAATGAAATATCTTCTCTGTTCTCCAGGCGTTGATGGATGATGCCGATGCTTGCCGTCGCAAGATGAACAACGCTGAAGCTTTGATCAACGGCCTGTCTGGGGAGAAGATCAGGTGGACGCAGGCCAGTAAAACATTTGAGGCCCAGATCCAGAGGCTGGTGGGTGATGTCCTCCTGGCCACTGGATTCCTCTCCTACTCCGGGCCTTTCAACCAGGAGTTCCGCAACTTGATGCTCCGAAGCTGGAAGAAAGAGATGTTGGCTGCTAAGATTCCATTCAGTGATGTAAGAACCATCATTTCTGTACATGTTATGACAAACAAGTGAACTCTACTTCACTTGCCCCATAGACCGTCAGGTTTGAAAGGGAAAAATTTTATGACAAATTAATGAATTGACTGAAGCAAATAGTAATTTGTGGTATAAAGACATGACTGAAGTAAAATTCACACTTATTGGCTGGTTTTTTTAATTACTAGTTGTAAATGTGTTAAATAATTATACCATTCAATTTTACTCTGGCGTTTGTAGAAGTTATAAATAGATGTCTTGTGACTTCTATAATTTACTTTCTTGTAATAATTAAAACATATCACCTGGCTATTTTTAAATTGGTGTCATGTAAACAATTTCAGGACCTGAACATCATCTCTATGCTGGTACTGAACACAACCATCTCAGAGTGGAACCTTCAAGGCCTGCCCAATGATGAGCTCTCCATTCAGAATGGTCTCATTGTCACCAAGGCATCCAGATATCCATTGCTGATTGATCCACAAGGTCAAGGTAAAGCATGGATTAAAAACAAGGAAGGAAAAAATGAGCTTCAGGTAATGTCTGGAATTTTGTTGAATTTGTATTTTTGTATTTAATCATACACCAAATTATTTCTATTTAAAATCATTAAATGAAATGTTATATTTTTAATAATAAATTCTTTTTGTGTTAAATAAGATACTTCTTTAAGGAAAAAGACCATTACGAATGCATCATTTAACCCAGCTCATGTCTTGTCTGTATAGATCACATCACTGAACCAGAAATACTTCAGGACCCACCTGGAAGATTCCCTCTCCCTGGGCAGACCTCTGCTCATTGAAGACGTCGGAGAGGAGCTGGACCCTGCCTTGGACAATGTCTTAGAAAAGAACTTCATCAAATCAGGCTCCACATTTAAGGTAAAAGCTTTGATTTTTATTCAGTAAGAGCTTTGTTAGTTTAAATTTAAGGCCCCCTTAGATGAATCATTGAATGGGGAGTCGTAATTTTCTAAAATTGATTCTTCAGGTGAAAGTCGGAGACAAGGAGGTAGATGTCATGAAGGGGTTCTGTCTGTACATCACAACCAAGTTAGGTAACCCTGCCTACACTCCTGAGGTCTCTGCTAGAACTTCCATCATTGATTTCACTGTCACCATGAAGGGTCTGGAGGATCAGCTGTTGGGTGTTGTCATTCTCACAGAGAAACAGGTGCGTAGGTTAGACAGTTGGGTCTTGTCATTCTCACAGAGAAGCAGGTGCGTAGGTTAGATAGTTGGGTGTTGTCATTCTCACAGAGAAACAGGTGTGTAGGTTAGACAGTTGGGTGTTGTCATTCTCACTGAGAAGCAGGTGCGTAGGTTAGACAGTTGGGTCTTGTCATTCTCACAGAGAAACAGGTGTGTGGGTTAGATAGTTGGGTGTTGTCATTCTCACAGAGAAACAGGTGTGTGGGTTAGATAGTTGGGTGTTGTCATTCTCACAGAGAAACAGGTGCGTAGGTTAGACAGTTGGGTCTTGTCATTCTCACAGAGAAACAGGTGTGTAGGTTAGACAGTTGGGTGTTGTCATTCTCACTGAGAAGCAGGTGCGTAGGTTAGACAGTTGGGTGTTGTCATTCTCACAGAGAAACAGGTGTGTGGGTTAGATAGTTGGGTGTTGTCATTCTCACAGAGAAACAGGTGTGTGGGTTAGATAGTTGGGTGTTGTCATTCTCACAGAGAAGCAGGTGTGTAGGTTAGACAGTTGGGTCTTGTCATTCTCACAGAGAAACAGGTGCGTAGGTTAGTTGGGTGTTGTCATTCTCACAGAGAAACAGGTGTGTAGGTTAGATATGGGAGGGATGGAGAGAACAATATATTGAGAGGAACAGATGGGGAAAGATAAATGAATAGAAAGGACCAAATATTGTCACCATTGTTTTGTCTTTTCATTATATTAACAACGCTGTTTAGGAGAAAATAAAAAAACAAAAAACTCAATATTTCATGATACATTCTGCAAGACAATCCTCTTTACATAGTTCTGCTTCTCTTTATTTATATTCCTATTTTAATCTTCAGGTTATTTAAAATTGATATTAAGCACATCAGTGCAACAATTAAAAAGAGAACATGCATCAATAAAACTTGTCATATTTAAACCAGGAACTGGAAGCTGAGAGAACAAATCTCTTGGAGGAGGTGACCAGCAACAAAAGGAAAATGAAAGAACTTGAAGACAATCTGTTGTACAGGCTGACATCTACCCAGGTAACTAATCACATTATTGTTTCAATCTGGCTGTTTTGTCAAAACAATAATAGACTGAGCCATAATTGGTTATGTAAGAGATTCTTTCTACTAGTTCGGTACAAGTGATTTGATCTCTGTCTACAGGGTTCTCTAGTGGAGGATGAATCCCTGATTGAAGTGCTGAAAGTGACCAAAATTACAGCTGAGGAAGTCAGTGAAAAACTGACCATTGCTGCTGATACAGAGACTAAAATTAACTCTGCCAGAGAAGAGTTCAGGCCAGGTAAGGTTAACTCTTTACTGGCCTAATAGTTTTGTGGCAGGTTTACTTTTGATTGATTATTTTGAAAAAAAAAATGAAAATTTTTGTTGTTTCACATTACAATGTAATTTACATAACCAAAGAGGCTAACAAAAATTTTAGCCTAGAAATTTTTAAAACACTTTTTTAAATACAGCTGTAAAAATGTTTGCAATGCTGTAATTTTTATCTGTCCAGTTGCAACCCGTGGCAGCATTATCTACTTCGTGATCGTGGAGATGAGCATGGTGAACATCATGTACCAGACATCACTGAAGCAGTTCCTGGAACTCTTTGACCTGTCCATGTCCAAATCTGTCAAGTCCCCCATCACAAGCAAGCGTATCAACAACATCATTGATTACTTGACACTGTCTGTCTTCAAATACACCTGTCGTGGCCTGTACGAGACAGACAAATTCCTGTTCACTCTCTTGATGACCCTGAAGATTGAGATGGCTGCAGGCAGAGTGAAGGGAGAGGAGTTTGGTGTCTTTATTAAAGGTAAGCTTTGGTTCATTAGTTTCATGAATGTTAAATTCAAATTTTTTAACCACCAATTATAATTTGTCTGCCTATGTTTTTACAAATAATATCCTTTCTTGTCATATCTGTTGGGGCATGGGCCATCATATTATTTCTCCTGAGTACTCTGAGTATTCTCTCCAGTATGTTCTAGATGTAGCTACTTAGTTGTGTCTGCCTTAAGTTCTCATTGCCAGGTGTATTTAGGAATTCCTCTCTTTGCACGGTTTCCAATTTAGTTGCTGTCTAGTGAAGTTTGTTGGTGAATTACTGGTCTAATCCAAACCCATTTCTCCCTCCTGATTTCTTCTTCAGCATTGTCAAAAGTTTCAATGGTTTCAGGCAGAAGAACCTTGATAGTTAAATGAATTTTAAAAAAGCCAACATTTATTCCCGTGTTTGTTTGCCAACAGGTGGTGCTGCCCTGGACCTGAATGCTGTAGAACCCAAGCCCAAGAAGTGGATCATGGACATGACATGGCTGAACCTGGTCAAACTCTCTGAGCTGCCTCAGTTCAGTCAGATCCTCTCACAAGTTGGAAGAAATGACAAAGTAATTTTTTTGTCTTATCATTTTAGTATATTAGAAGATTCTTTAAACACCTAAGTAAGATACAAGTTTGCAGTCTTGCAAGGACCATTATTGAAAAAACAAAATCAAAATTAAAATTTAATCAAAGCTGTGTTTATGGCAGACTTGGTCGACTTGGTTTGATAAATAGATTCAATGTTGTGTTGTTAATTGGCCTGGTTTAATGAACTGAATTAATGATCATTTTAGTATATTAGAAGATTCTTTAAACACCTAAGTAAGGTGCAAGTCTGCAGTCTTGCAAGGACCATTTTTGAAAAAAACAAAATCAAAATTAAAATTTAATCAATGTTGTGTTTGTGGCAGACTTTAATAAATGTATTCAATGTCGTGTTGTTAATTGGCCTAGTTTAATTAACTAAATTAATGATGTATGTGTTTACAGGCGTGGAAGGCCTGGTTTGATGAAGATGCTCCTGAAGAAAGTGTCATCCCTGACGGCTACAGTAACAGCCTTGACAACTTCCGGAAGCTTCTGCTGATCAGATCCTGGTGCCCTGACAGAACCATCCCCATGGCCAGAGTTTACGTGGCTGAGGCGATGGGACAAGAAGTAAGATAACTGATCACACCCAGATCAAAATCCATCAACTTTAAAATTAAATTGTTTAGTATCTTGCGTTATATCTCATAAAGTTTACTTTTTTTTAGTGAAATGAAATTTGTTTTTCCCACTCAGTTTGCTGAAGGTGTCATCCTGAACCTGGAGTCATTGTGGGAGGAGTCACACTCAAGGACACCCATGGTTTGCTTCCTGTCCATGGGTTCAGATCCCACTGAGAATATTGAACGCTTAGCCAAGCAGAAAAATCTAAGTAAGTGTTGATGGGTTTTGACCCAACTGAGAATATTGAAAGCCTAGCCAATCAGAAATATCTAAGTTAGTGTTTGTGGGTTTTGACCCAACTGAGAATATTGAAAGCCTAGCCAATCAGAAATATCTAAGTTAGTGTTTGTGGGTTTTGACCCAACTGAGAATATTGAAAGCCTAGCCAATCAGAAATATCTAAGCTAGTGTTTGTGGGTTTTGACCCTGAAGCAAAAATGTTTGAGAAAGTGGTTGAAGCATTTGGTGGAGTTTATGCACATTAAAAAAAGAGTTAATTATTCCATTCCAGAATGTGGATCCATTTCTATGGGACAAGGTCAGGACGTTCATGCACGACGACTGATATCTCTGTCAATGGCAGAGGGCAGATGGGTTTTGTTACAAAACTGTCATCTGGGTCTGGATTTCATGGACGAGCTGCTGGACACTGTGAGTGGGGATGGGTGGATGGTGTTTCATAGTTAGCTACAATGGGATGGAAGATTTGGTGGTACTTTTATGAAAGCTGATCTATATTGAAAATCTTTTTTAGTACTTTTGGTCTATAAGTTGGTCTATACTGAAACTATTTTTTTGTTATTATCGGTACAATATTCCTAGTACCATATTCCTAGTACTGCTTACCATCATCTTTTCCTGTTCATGTCCTAGACACATAGGGCAGATGAAATAGAGTTCATCTGCTTCACTTTATACCACCCAACCTCTTTTAATTTCCCTATCTTCAGTTTCTTTAGCTAAACTTTAAACATCAGTGTTTTAATAAAATAATTAGAACTATTTAATTCTGATGCAAACTTTGTCCTGTTATGTTAGGTCCTGACAACAGAGTCAGTGAATGACCAGTTCCGTATTTGGCTGACCACAGAGGAACATCCCAAGTTCCCCATCAACCTGCTGCAGTGCTCCATCAAGTTCACCAATGAGCCGCCAATGGGGGTCAAGGCTGGCCTCAAGAGGACATACACTGGCGTGACCCAGGTAACCCCCTGACACTGAAGTTCAACATTTTTTATCTGCGCAAGATTATCATTCTCATTAACCTTTTATTTAAAAAAACTTTTTTTGATTTTGCTCATTTTAAACAAAATTGATGAATTAAAATTTTAATCAGTCAAAAATAGCTTACACAACTTACTTTAAAAACAATAGAATTTCAGGCGTTTGTTACGACCTATTAAAAATAGTAATTATACTCTACATTAATCTCATTTAATCTTTTTTAAGAAAAGTAAAGTCATGCTTTTAAAGAATTATAGATTGCAGTTGCTCAACAAATAAAAATTAAGGGAAAATGCAATTCAGATTTAATTAGCCCTTCTATAAAATAGGTTGTAGAAACAAAACAATCAACACCCGAAATTTTGGTTTTATTTTTTTTTATTATAAATTTCTTCCTTCATCATCCACCAAATAAAAATCTAAACCAAAATAATTTCTTTTCCCCCAGGAACAACTGGACTACAGCAACTTGCCAGTTTGGAAACCCATGCTGTACGGTGTTGCCTTCTTGCACACAACAGTCCAGGAGAGGAGGAAGTTTGGTCCCATTGGCTGGAACATTCCCTATGAGTTTAACCAGGGTGACCTCAACGCCACCATCCAGTTCATCCAGAATCACCTGGATGACCTTGACCTTAAGAGAGTTAGTAGTGATTATTTTTTTTTTAATTTATTTTTTTATTAAAATTAATTTTTAAAAATACAATAAATAGAAATAAAATAATTAAAAAAAAAACAAGTTTAAAAGTTTTTAAAATTTTGAAATTTTTCAGGGTGTGAACTGGGTGACTGTGAGGTACATGATTGGTGAAGTCCAGTATGGCGGCAGGGTCACTGATGACTACGACAAGAGGTTGTTGAACACCTACACCAGGGTCTGGTTCAGTGAGACCATGTTCACTGACAACTTTGCTTTCTACACAGGTAGGTCTAGGGGTTAGTTGGTGACCTACACAGGTAGGTCTAGGGGTTAGTTGATGACCTACACAGGCCTGTAGGTTAGCTGCTTCTATACTCATCCCTTAAACCTACTTGGGGTGTTGGGCCACAGAAGTTGGTTTTCTCATAATTTTTTGACATCTATGTCAGTCCTCTGCTGCTCTGGTGAACAGAGTCAATGGATAAGATTGTTTACTATACAGAGTTAATGAATAAGATTGTTTACTATACAGAGTCAATGGATAAGATTGTTTACTATACAGAGTTAATGAATAAGATTGTTTACTATACAGAGTTAATGGATAAGATTGTTTACAATACAGAGTTAATGGATAAGATTGTTTACAATACAGAGTCAATGAATAAGATTGTTTACTATGAAAGTTTGTATGAGGTTCTGTATTACACAATGGTGTGTCCTGGAAAATAAAACCAGTTTAAGTCTTCTAAAAATACTACTTTAAAAATTTACAAAAATCTATAGTAGTTTGACATTTTTTAATACTGTTGAATAGAATCTATTTTCTAATCAAATCTGTATATCACCATATAATTAATGTATCATATTTAAAGCAGCTCTATATATCACCTAATGATCAATGTATCATATATTTGAACCAACTCTCTATATAACCTTATGATCAATGTATTATATATTTGAATCCACTCTGTATATAACCTTATGATCAACGTATTATATATTTGAATCCACTCTGTATATAACCTTATGATCAACGTATTATATATTTGAATCCACTTTCTATATAACCATATAATCTATGTCACCAGGCTACAAGATCCCTAAATGTAAGAACCTGGAAGAGTACAGGAACTACATTGAGTCCTTGCCTCTAGTGGACTCGCCTGAGTGCTTTGGTCTACACCCCAACGCTGACATCACGTAAGTTTCCTCATCCTCTCACATAACATAACGTACACGTGAGACTATTATTGATGCTGGTACATGGGTATCTTGATGTTAGCTGTAGCACTCTGCCTAGGTGTGAGAAAGAAATTTTTTTTTAAAAATTGGGTGAGATCAAAGGATGATAAGAAAAGTGCATACAATAGTTCAAGATAGAACAATTCAGCTCTACAGGATCTAGTTTTGCCTTGACATTAAACACACTGATGCAGTGAAAGATGTAATGTTGCTTTCAGTGTTATTGTTGACACTTTACTTAGCTGGTTAAGCTCATGAGTTTGAACCAGGTAAATGAGGCTCAGTAACTGGGGATAGCAAACAATCTAGTAGAGAAAACTCTAAAATCAAACTGCTGTCTTGTAGTTTGTTCTTGGATGGACAAAAGCAAATGCAGAAAGATAAGCAGGTTGAAATTGGAGTCATAACATGTTGACACATAATACTTCATTCTTTTAGAAGAAATCATGTCCAACGTTATAAATCAAGAATGAAAAAGTATTATTTTTACTGAACAACGAACTATGTTGAAATTAACCCTGGAAGTTGTTTGTTTATTGATTGAGTTCTGGTGTTTCAGCTATCAAACCAACACGGCCAACAAAATGTTGTCCACCATTGTTAACATCCAGCCTAAAGACGCTGGCAGTGGGGGTGGGGAGACACGTGAGACAGTTGTCTACAGACTTGCAGACGACATGCTGGAGAAGCTACCACAAGATTACGTTCCTCATGAGGTTGGCGCCAAACTCACTTCATCTTTTTATCTACTTCTTCAACTACTTTTAGAATATTATTACTTTTTGTTTGGCTACCAAATTTAGATTTTTGTTCATTTGTCAATTCATTTTAGGCATATTGAAACAAATGTATAAAAACATTTTTAAACAATATTTTAGGTAAAAGAACGATTGAAGAAAATGGGATCCCTCCAGCCTCTAAACATTTTCTTAAGACAAGAGATTGACCGCATGCAGCGAGTAATTGGTTTAGTGCGCACCACCCTCATGGACCTGAAGCTGGCCATAGATGGCACAATCATCATGTCTGAGAACCTCAGGGACGCCCTGGACAACATGTTTGATGCTAGGGTACCCAACAACTGGAAAAAGGTTCGTTCAAAACTTGAAAGGTTTTTCTTAGGGAACAAAATTTTTTATGTTATGGTTAATTTTATTATATCAGAACTTTGGATTTTTCACATGATTGAATTTGAATGTTAAAACCAATTTGTGGCCAGGTATCTTGGCAGTCCACAACACTGGGGTTCTGGTTCACTGACCTGCTGGACCGTAATGTCCAGTTCAACTCCTGGCTCTTTGAAGGTCGTCCAACAACGTTCTGGATGACTGGCTTCTTTAATCCCCAGGTGAGATTCTAAGTTTATTACCAGCACTAGACCATTGACTGATGTAAAAATAGGTAAAGTTCCATTTTCGAACCTGATGGTCCATGGGACAAGTGGAGTTTACTTGTTTCTGTGACTTCAGCATATGAAGAGATAGTGTGGTCAGCACTATGCCAAGCCACCTTAACTTTCCCTGTGTGGGGGTCAGGGATTCAATTGTGAGACTTTCGGGTTAGCAGTCAAGCCCTTTACTGCTAGGCTAAGCAGTGGTGTAACTGATGCTAATTAACTATCAAGTCCTATAGGAAACATCTGATGGTGGTTTTGTACAAGCTAACATGTTGTCCATCTTTGTCCAGGGTTTCCTGACGGCCATGAGACAAGAAATTACCAGAGCACACAAGGGCTGGGCTCTTGACACTGTCTTCTTGGAGAATGATGTCACAAAAATGATGAGAGAGGACATCACCTCTGGTCCATCTGAAGGTCAGTTTTGTTTTTAATTGACCCATCTGAAGGTCCGTTTTGTTTTAGTTGACCCATCTGAAGGTCAGTTTTACTGTAGTAAAGCACAAATATTATAATGATTTCTTCTAGGGCTTCTAAACTTAATTAAAAATTTTTTTTTTATTTTTTGGTGTTGTAGTATGTTAAAAGCAACACCTTAACAAATTATAATAAAGATGTTTTTTTAAATATAAGTTTTATGTGAAACAATTAGGAACTGCACAAAAATGTAAACAAACTGAAGCTACAAATGAAATAATGATATAAGTGATAATAATATAAGTGATAATAATATAAATGATAATAATATAAATGATAATATAAATGATAATAATACAAATAATAATATACCTGTAAAAAACTTCAAACTTTTATTCGGTAATGAACACTGTTAAATAACCTAAAAATTAAAAATAAGGCCAGACTAGATTTACCAGCATGATTATCCAAGCCATGGTAGCCTATCAATGATCTCTTTCAGGTGTGTACGTGTATGGGCTGTACCTGGACGGTTCAGGCTGGGACCGTCGTAACGCCAAACTTATCGAGCCCACCCCCAAGGTCTTGTACACGCCCCTGCCTGTTGTGCATGTTTTTGCCAGCAACCAGGACAAAGGCCCCAGCGCCAACGTCTACCAGTGTCCAGTCTACAAGAAGCCCAACCGCACAGATCTCACCTACATCTTCCCCCTGTCTTTGAAGACCAGTAAGAACCCCGACTACTGGACCCTGCGAGGTGTGGCGTTGCTGTGTGACATCAAGTAGATTTTATCCCACACACATTGTTTTTTTAAATTTTGGTTTCATGTGGCTCTAAGCCATACCTTGGCCAGTTATAATTTTATCTCATAATCTGAACAGATATAATCAGTTTTATTTAATTTATGGATGTTTTTAAATATATTTCAAAATGACAAGAATGTGTTTTGAAATATTTTGACCATCTTAAGAAAAGTGAACGAGTAGCCCAAATATACCATGAAATTGGTATTAATTAGAAAATGATAAGCCATTTATTAAATTAAACTTGTTGGTTAATAAATTATATAGATTATATGCGCTGTTTTCTTAAAAAGTTTTTTTTAAAAATACATGAATAAATATATATATATATATATTGTGATATTCACAATTGAAAACACCTTTCTAAGAGGAATGAATTTAATAGAAAATTGTCAATTCATGATAAAAAAAGCCTTTGGAGTTATAGAACTATTATTCTGACATTCATATTTTTTATTAAACAAATAATCAGTATTGATAATTTAACAATATCAACATTTTTCAAATGTGAAATGTTGTAATGCAATGCTTTCTTTGTGATTTACTGTAAATCTATATTACAGTGTATTTTGTGATAGTAGGCCTATTTGTATAGTTAAGCATTTTCTGTGTCTGCTAATATTTACAGTATATCAAAACAGTTCGGCAGGTCAACAAGTATTCCATTATTAACTGACCACTACACAATTGTTGACTGTAATTGACTTAAGTATTAGTTTCTTTGTGTGTGCAATCTTTATCATACCGCTTAGTATTACTGACACAAAGTTTAAAATTTAGATCAATCTTAACCTCAAAGTGTGCTGTGAAAATATTTTTTTTATTCAAACACAATTTTTCTGTGTTGCTGAGCAGTATTAATAAAAGAATTTCAAAGTAAATTGACTGGAACTGTTGTTGGAATCTGCTAGTTGTTATCATAAAGGGGGGGGGGGGTCTTCTTCCTTTACTGACGTCACACTTTTAATACAGCTATTTGTTCAAACTTTCTAGATGCGTTCCACATCAATGACAATACCAAGATATCAATTTTAAAAAATTTAATTAGATGTTAAATTAGTCATCAAACATTAATTAAACGTTTTTTTTTAAAATTGTCTTATCCCATCTGAAATGTTTCAGCACCACTCGTCAGTGGTAAATCTGTTTGAAGATAATTCAGGTAACATCCCTCAGGCAACATCCCTCAGGTAACATCCCTCAGGTAACATCCCTCATGCAACATCCCTCAGGCAACATCCCTCAGGCAACATCCCTCATGTAACATCCCTCAGGCAACATCCCTCAGGCAACATCCCTCATGTAACATCCCTCAGGCAACATCCCTCAGGCAACATCCCTCAGGCAACATCCCTCAGGTAACATCCCTCAGGCAAAGGCTGTTTAAAAAATGGTGCAGGCTATTAATTATAACGCTAGGACTGATTTGTTAAACTTATAACTGAAAATAACCTAAGCTATATTTTTGTAAAAGTGAAGGGTACCTGACTCACGTTTGGGAAAGTCAAGGCAGCTGGACATAGTGCTGACCACACTGTCCCTTCATATGCCGAGATAACATGAATAGGTGAACTCTACTTTATCTTCAAGCCCGATCAGTGTTTCTTCCAGACTTTTTTCTTTGGGGGGGGGGGGGGCACTTGAAATTTTCGGGGGGACGGTAGACTTTCTTCGGGGGGGGGGGGGGGGCGGACACTGTTACAAGTATATATTTTCTATATAAATTATATACATTTCATTTCGTTCGGGAGGGGGGGGGGGCGGTAGAATTTTTTCGGGGGGGGGGGGGGGGGCGCTTCGCCCCTGAAGAGATGCCTGGAAGAAACTCTGCGCCCGATTCCAAAGAGTAATTTTAACTTTAAGTTATACTAGGAGCAAATAGGATTAAGTCAAGAAAGTCAAGTATACTTTGGAGGTGTTAATTTTTTTTATATTAGAAAATTGTCAATTCACTGTTACGTAGGGGTCGTCCATAAAAGACGTCACACTCGTAGGGGGAGGGGGGGGGTCCGTAATTTTGTGACGGTGTGTGATGAGGGGAGGGGTTCAGATGGTGTGACGTCACTTTTTTGCATTTAAAAAAATCAATGTTAGAAAACGAGTTTTAGCCGTTATTTCGCGTTTAAGAAAACGGTTTTAGTAAAATGTAACAGGAATAGATCAAAATACTCTATTTTGACAGAGTTCTGACAAGATTTGGATAAATTTCGATGTTTTAAGAAAAATTCAAGAGCAGTTTTGAGGGGGTTGTAGGCTGAGGTGTGACGTCATTTTAGGGGGGGGGGTCTGGCTTTTTGTGACGACGTGTGACAGAGGAGGGGGGGGGGGGAGGTAAAAATCGTCAAAAAAGCGTGACGTCATTTATGGGTGACCCCTTAAAACTTTTCAACAGCATGGTTTTAAAAATTGTTGTTACCAAGTGAATCCACGTACATTAAGTACCATTTCAATATGTTTCAGTATCCGGAGAACTAAAAGATGGTCGTGTGGCTTTTAAATAACACCAAAATGAGCCGAAAGAGTTATTCATTCAATACATAGGCTATGCGTGATAAATGTCATTTTAGATACTTTTAGTACACTGATAAGCAGGTTTGACTGGGCCGCCGTGACAGGAAAATTCCGGGGATTGAATTAACCCTTCCGATTTGTTAAGTGACCCGTAGCTTTGCATGCAGTGTTTCTTCCAGACTTTTTTCTCCGGGGGGGGGGGGGGGGGGGGGGCACTTGAAATTTTCAGGAGGGGGGGGGGGGGGGCGGTAGACTTTCTTCGGGGGGGGGGGGCGGACACTGTTAAAGGTATATTTTTTTTGTATTTAAATTTCATTTCGTTCGGGGGGTGGGGGGGAGGCGGACACTGTTAAAGGTATATATTTTCTATTTAAATTTCATTTCGTTCGGGAGGGGGGGGGCGGACACTGTTAAAGGTATATTTTTTTTGTATTTAAATTTCATTTCGTTCGGGGGGGGGGGGGGGGCGGTAGACTTTCTTCGGGGGGTGGGGGAGGCGGACACTGTTAAAGGTATATATTTTCTATTTAAATTTCATTTCGTTCGGGAGGGGGGGGGGGGCGGTAGACTTTCTTCGGGGGTGGGGGGGGGGGGGGGGAGGCGGACACTGTTAAAGGTATATATTTTCTATTTAAATTTCATTTCGTTCGGGAGGGGGGGGGGGCGGTAGACTTTCTTCGGGGGGTGGGGGGGGGGAGGCGGACACTGTTAAAGGTATATATTTTCTATTTAAATTTCATTTCGTTCGGGAGGGGGGGGGGGCGGTAGACTTTCTTCGGGGGGTGGGGGGGGGGGGAGGCGGACACTGTTAAAGGTATATATTTTCTATTTAAATTTCATTTCGTTCGGGAGGGGGGGGGCGGTAGACTTTCTTCGGGGGAGGGGGGGCAGAGCCCCCCCCCCCCCCCCCCCCCCGAAGAGATGCCTGGAAGAAACTCTGTTTGTAGCTTGGATAAAAAAGGGTATTTATTTTCACGATATAGCGATAGCGTTGGTTTTTATTCCGGAATGGCACAACAGTAAAAACCAGTAAAACCATGGCGCAGTCTGTCACGCCTTTCCGGAAACCACCGGAAATACTGTAAATCATATTTGATTTGGCGCCATATTATTTTTGGTACCCTATCGTTTTAGCGTAGGCCTAATCAATTCGACCGGCGCGAGTAATGTAGGGATAAGGTAACTAATAAATATGGCTTGAATATGAATATATTTTTGCATATTGTACAAAAGTATTAAAGACAATTGAATGTTAAATCACAGTTAAGGGTTAAATCAATAAAAATGTCCTGAAAGTAAATTTTAACAACGATGTTCCAGATACTAAATTTGCTATTAAACCAGCGGCTATAATATATTTCGAGTAATTTCCCTTTAATTTCTATTTGTATAAACATATATTGCTGTTCGCTATTAAATTCGATTGTCTTGTTTCTAAATACAAAGCATGCCTTTTTTTTTAAAAACAATCTGCCATTTAAAAAAATAATTGACTGACAATAAACATCAGTTCTAGAATTATTATTAAGAGATGCAACTTTTATACATTAAGAAGTCCCGATTTTTGTAGAAGAGCTACTACGAATAGATCAAATGCTTATTTAAATATTACTATTAGTTTGAGTTTATTGTTGTTTGCTTTCTATTTTCATTTCATGTTTGCGTGTGTTTTTTCCCCTTTAATTAGGGATTTAATTAAAAAATGACATCACGTTTTTTTACGTAATGTCGAAAAATATCCTTTTGCCCTGCCTTTTTATAGAAGTCAAGCCATAATTCTAACGAAAAAAAATGTTTTTCAGCACTGTACGTAACATTTCATGTCTCTTAGCCCTTTCTCTCCCAAAGTAAAATGTCGTCGTCTCAAAGAGCAGTTACACCACCCCTTTTGTGCGTGATGTCATACCCATTTTGAATAACCCTTGTTGTCAAAATGTCTATACCAAGATCAAAACTTCTATAATGATATGCTCAACGAAAATGAGTAACATAAAGTTTTCATGCATACCTTTGCTCGAAATCAATGATCATAACTATTGCAAGCCTGTTGTCTTGAGAGGTGTTAAACAACCTCAGCACATCATCCCCGCCGAAAACTCCTGCCACTAAACGCCTACCCAAGAAAATAGGCCGTAATATATTGACGCCACAGGCAATAACTTCTGACAATAAGGCTCAAATCAAGTAGCACATGGCAACGATATTCGACACAGAGTTCAAGACAATTGGCTTGCAGGTAAAGTTGGACAGAACAGTAAGTTTCACGACGTGGGGCATAATATTTAGGCTTAGAAATAGATGTCATCGAAATATCAAATCCCTATAATACATTATAAATTAAGAGCATAGCAAGGTACTCATTATATGTTATTGAAACAATAATTTAGAGAGTTTTACTAAAAAAAAATTGGACGTTCACATGGGGGAGGGGGGGGAAGGGGGTAAAATTCCAAATTTTTGTGAACGTTATAAATGGGAGACCATTTATTAATGTTATCCATTAGAATAATACGTATAATTTAAAAAAAAATCCCTGCCCTAGCTTAGGTGCGATGGTTAAACTCAATATAGGAGAAGATTATTATTAATTCAATTATCAGAGTTAAGGTTTTGGTGGTTGAATCAGCATGAAAAACACACCATAGATACAGCCGTTTGAATAAAGCACTGTCTTTTTTTGTAATAAAAGGTTATGAGACTGAATGAAAATAATTTCAAGTTTTTCTCCTTTTTGATATTTGCTTCTTTGGAGGGGACAACGTATACATACATGCTTTCTTGTAATGGTCTAGTAGGCGGTTCGTCTAAACAAAGGTGGTACAATCTGTGGATAAAACAAAAGAAAAAACTTCCAGAATTGGGTCTGTGATTGTGATCAGTCAGTTGTTAGAACGTTGCGCCAGACTAGACACCCCCGTCCACCAGCTTCGCCTAGACTAGTTTGTGTGTCGTGTGTGTCTCGTGTGTCGTGTGTGTCGTGTGTCGTGTGTGTCGTGTGTGTCTCGTGTGTCTCGTGTGTTACTTGCTACTGATGACTTGATGGCTGTTTGGCTTCTTACTGGTGACTTGGCGGTTATTTGGCTTTCGCTTTATGATTTGACGACTATATGACTTTCTACTGATGACTTGACTTTTTGGTTTTCTACTCATGACTTGACGACTAAATTGCTTGCTATTGATGACTTGATGGCTGTTTGGCTTCTAACTGGTGACTTGGCGGTTCTTTGGCTTTCTCCTCATGACTTGACGACTATATGACTTTCTACTGTCGACTTGACGACTTTTTGGTTTTCTACTGATGACTTGAGGACTATTTTGCTTTCTTTTGATGACTTGACGACTATTTTGCTTGCTAACGATGACTTTAC